CAATATCTTGCATATGATCTTGTACAGAGTCTTGATTTCAGTGTCTCACAAAATGTATTAGAGATTCTATCTTTCAATCTACATTATCATCAAGGTTCTTATTATGTTGCTGAAGTTGTGAAGTGGGTATAATGATGGTGATCCCAAGGATGCTCAAAACCATTACAAAGCACTGAGTTCTGATGATTCAAACAACATAAATTAGTTTTCTTACAATATTAGATAAAGATAATCCAAGATAAAAGTGCTCTTCCAATCAAGTTTTAGTGAGGACTTCAGGGTTTACAAACATCTTCTTCATTTTTTACAATTAATTTTCTTCTATGTATGTGTAGTAATTATACACAGTAATGGAATATAGCATGATATTTCACTGTACAATAATATTTCTTGACACTCCAAATGGAAACAATAAACAACTAATCATGATTATGATTATGCCTAACATGATATTACTATCCCATGTTCTTTTGCACTATTTTACAAGCAATATATATGTAAGCATATGAGGTTCTTACCAAAATAGGACAGAAATACTCAGGATAGTTATAATCTCATTTGTGTAACTTCATGTGGTCTTAACTGATATTTATAAATACCATCTGTTATGATAAATCTTTCTGCCAAAAGCCGCCGAACCCCACTGCCATGTGTGCACTCTACACCAGCCGCTGCCGTGTTAGGGCCCAAATAAATACACAGAGAGACTTGTATTAGGTACAATGTTGCTTGGCCAATGACTAGGATTCTCATCTGTTAGTTCAGTCTCAATTATCATACATCTATATATTTCATAAGACTTATCTTATCGGACGCCTTATTGGCGTCCCTCCTTGCTGGTGAATCACATCCCACCAATGGCGCAAGAACGGGAAAAGAGCGGGACACTTCCTTTTTCCTCTTCTTAAATATGAGTCTCCTTGCTATGTCACTTCCTGCCTGGAACACCACTTCTCTACTACATTTCCCAGAACCCTCTTTGACTCCTAGTCTAGCCTAACTTGCTTTCTCATTGGCCAAGCAAGTACTTTATTTAACAATCAATAAGATAAACATACACAGAAGTATTTCCCCCATCAACCTTCCTCTACTACGCATTTTGCATTTCTTTTGCCTTCAGAAAGCACCTCGGCAGCCTTGATTCTTTTTCTTATGGAGTATGAATGATATGTGTACTTTATCATCTGATGGTAATTTCCCTTTGCTTTTAATCCTAGCACATGACAACACAAAGAAGTGACATAAAGCATCTCCTGTACTCCAGGTATTATCTTCCTTACCTCCATTGTGGAGAAGTAATCCAATTTCCATATGGAAGTCTGAGCCAATCCCCCTTCTAACACTGTTTTCCTTCCATAACATGTTTGCTTAAAGGTACCAGAAGCCCAAAATGGACAAGGGGAATATTAGCTTCAGTTCAATAGACTGTTTTTTATATCTCCAGATAGGAGTGTTCCCTATCTAGAACCAAAATTTCAAGGCCAGCAGAATTTAAAGTTGCATGAAGAGGAATGGAAACATTCCCTAGTGAGTCATGAGTAGAACCATTCCTTTTCCTACCCCTTGATAGCTGGACCTGTGGATCCTGATATGAAATGAGTTGTTCCATATATTGGGTACTTATTCAAAAGCATATACTACCGTGCAGAGAAACCAACTCTAGTCCTCTAGACTTCTGTCACCTATTGATGATGTAATTTTGTTTTCAAGAGTCATTTCATCATTGTATGAAGACAGACATATCAGGATTGTGGGGAACATGGTAAGACCAGTGTGTTCAATGATCATAGGCCCACTGTTACACATCTGAAGCTGTGAAGTGAGTTCATTTGTCAGAATAAATGCTATATGCAATACCATGATGGTGGGTAAGTTTTGGCAGAAAGAGTAAATGCAAAAAAAGTCAAATTTATAACCAGTATCTATTCCAGTAAGGGCAAAGAATTGTATTTTCTATGAAGAAAGTGGTTCAATGTAATCAACCCATGATCAGGTTGCTGGTTGGTCATACTTGGGGAATGGTGCCCTATTAGGAGCTGAAAGTTAGTATCTACTGTTGGCAGATCTGGCCTTCAGCAGCATCTGTAGCCAGGTCATTCTTGGTAAATGGAAACCCATGTTCATGTGACCATATACAAACTACATCTGTGCCACTGCATCAATTTTTTCATGGGCCCATTTGGCAAAATCAGGGATGCCTAGGGAAACAGGCTGACTATCCCCAGAATGGGTGAATCTATATACTTGATTATTGAACTTCTCTTCTGCCAATGCCAACTTTTGCTGAGTACTGACATGGTCACATCCTTTGCCCATTCAAAGTGATCTATCCAATCTGTCTATGTGTTTGTTCCCCAAATGTCTTTCTCATCAATTTTTCCAATCATACTTCTTCAAATTTCCTGACAATCCAACCAATACATTGACTACAACCCATGAGTCAGTAAACACATCAACTGATTTCTCCTTCCAAGAAAAATGGGCAACTGTGCGAACTGCCTGAAGTTCTACACACTGTGAAAACTTCCCTTCACTGCTGTCTTTCAGGGTTGTCTCAAAAAGATATTGTAGAGCAGCAGCTACACAACTCTGAGTAGTCCCTGCATAAGGTACAGAGTTATCCATAAACCAGGCTCCAGTCTTCTCTTCCTCAGTCAACCAAACATAAACACACCTTAGCAGGCTATATTTGAATACTTGGGAGAAAAAGGCATTTTAACACTAAAAGAAACCATAACCATTTTAGCAGCTTTTTCATGTGACCTGCTTATGTCTTCAGGACCTGTTTAGACCTGACCACATACATACCAAGTGTTATAATTTAAGAAAAGCTGCATGAGAGAGAAAAACGCTATAAGACAGAGATCAAACAAATGGTTTTATTAAATTAGGGAAAAGGATCATAGAAAGGGGAGAGGGAAGAAAGCCTCTAAAGACAAGAACAGCAGGAGAGAGTAGAGAGAAAAGAAGAGGAGAGAAAGGAGATGGGGGAGAGGGAGAGAGAGAACAGAACAGAAAGAGGGAGAGAAAGAAAGAGAGAAGGGAGGATGGGAGGTGGGCAGAGGCCTTTTAAAAAGGAGCATATTAAATATGCACAGGTGGTGCTCTTAGTGCCTGCAGCTGAGGGCATATCCTGTCAGAACTCCAAGGACAGGCCAGCACAGATGCCTCAATATTAACACCACTTCCATTTGAGAATAGATTGCTGCTGTGTACATCCTATTTTATGACTTGTTGGGTTAGATAGTACTCACCTCATGATTGTCAGCTTAGTTCATGTGGTAAGTAGGTGGCCCATTGTCAAAGCTTCAGTTTCCAAAGCCCAACTCTAAGTCTAGAGCTGTCTCTCAAAGGAAGAATAGTAGTTTACAAATTATGGTAAAGCGTTTTTGCAAAACCCCCAAGTTTCCCTCTGTGATTCACCTATAGGGGCCTGACACAGGCTCTCCAAACAGCATCTCATCTGTCATAGAAACCTGTAAGAAGCCTGGACCTGTGGAAAAGCTTTCTTCTGTTCCAGGCCCCATTCAAAGTTAGCAGATTTCAAATTCTCTTATAATATGGGCTGTAGTAACACACCCAAATGAGTAATGTGTTTTCTTTATAATCAAAATAGTTCCACCAAGTGTTACACTTCTTTCCTAGTGGTCAGGGAAGCAGACTCAGAAAAGATGGAGAGGACAATATTATAAGAGGTGGAAGTTGGGATTCAGTCTCTGCTAAGAGTAAAGAGACTACCTCAGGGGAGATAAACCCTTCAGAATCTGGTGGTTAAAAGTTCACAACCTTGATAGGGTATTTTCACATATTTCCATCCCAAATTACAGCATCCCATTCATTATCAGTGAGTGCCCTTACATTAGTCTCTGAGCCCCTCTGAACCTGGGACTTGAATTATAGCTGGAGTTCAGCCATTCTTAAGCAAGCTTCATTTGGATTTTCTGAAAATTGAGCTTTATGATTGTTAGAAACAAGATTCACTTCCAGGCTACACTTAGAAATTTTAGATCGTTTATGTGCCAGTCAGTTACATCCCTCAATTCAATCTTTGACACTGTATCCTGACATTCTAGAAGTTGGTTAATTATATCCAAAGGTTCAATCATTTACTTAGTTTATCCAGAAGTGCTAGAAACAACTTTTTTACTTATTTTTCTACATATTGCATATTCCTTATCCCAGAAGAAACCCATAAGATTTTTCTAACCATAGACATTCAGTGTTTTGCATACTAACAAGGAAGCAGACAGTAACTGTAGTTGTTGGCAAATTTCCAAGACTGTAACAGCAACTTAAAAAATTATACTTAATATGTCATTTCCCTAGAAACATTCCTGCTATCGTAATTTGTATTAGATGTGCTTCCCTAAGGAACATAACTAATAACTTTATTTGAGTGGCTTACAAGTTTTAGTCAAAGTAGCTCAGCAATGACTGTCTCCTGACAGAAAAGCGGCGAATTCAGTACTTATTCACTCCAAAATACTGGATGTCCAAATAGTTCAAGAGTACTTCCAATTTTCAGTTGTCATTGGAATCCTAAAGGAATGTGTACTAACACCTGTGAAGGAATGGGTCAGTTAAAGTGGGGGCAAGTGGGTGGAAGGCAAAAGCTCCCTTCTTCCATGTCCTGTGCAGGATATCACCAGAAGATGTGGCCTAGATTTAAGGTGATTTTTCTGATCTCAAACAACAGAGCAGAGAAAACCCTGCACAGGTTTTCCCAGGTGCATGGGTTAGCGTTCCTTCCAAATGTACTCAAGTTGACAATCAAGATTAACCACCTCATGGTATTACCTTCTTCTCATCACTTGTGTATGTTTGGAGCCTTTGAGAGCTATTAGTCTTGGGATAATATATATATATATATATATATATATATATATATATGCATGTGTATGTGTGTGTATGTGTGCAACAGGCATTACTAGACAAAAATGAATAAAATTGTGTCATTTATAATTGATGAGTCTGCATAGGAAAATGTCTCATAATTTTAATCCTTTTTAAATATTTTTATTTGTTCTTTGAAAATATCATTCACATATGCAATGCATTTGGATATTAACCACTTTCCTCCATCTTCTACTAGTATTCATCAACTCATCTTTCAATGAATTCATATCCTATTTATTACATATTATTATATTCATTAGTCCCCAAGCTTCAATGAGTTCTGACCATGTGCAAATGGCTGTGCTGGTATCCACTGGAGTATGGATAACCCAGAGGCAGGCACATCCTGAAAGAAAAGTGACACTCTCTCAGAAACCACCAGCTGCCAATCCCTTCTCAAGTAGGAGAGGAGCCATAGAAGCCCTTCCCCATCCTTGCTGAAATTCTGTAGAAGTCTTGTGAAGGAAATCATAGCTGCTCTGAGTTGATGCATGCATTGACCATCAAATAACCAGAAGACAATGTTTCACAGCTCTCTTCCTCATCCTTCTTGTCTTATATTCTTTCCAACAACACTTCTCTGAGCTCCAGTTGGGTGTGGGTTGATATAGATTGCCCATCTGTGTCTGAATACACACAATCCCTTATTCTCAGCACTTTGACCAATTATGAGTCTCTGCATTAGCTTCTGTGCACTATACAATAAAAAGAAAAGAAAAACGCTTATCTAATCAAAGTTGAAAGTAGTACAAATCTACAGATATAGACATACATATTAAGAAGGGAATTTGACAACATGATAATTTAGCCAAGCACTATAATAGAGTCTTCCTGGCCTTATGATCTTCCCACACATAGTCTTTGACCAGAACACAATACCAGATATGAAACTACTCTTGTGAAGCAGGTCTCAGATCTAATCAGAATGTGGGAAATTATTTATCTTGCCAATATTAAACCAATTTGAACAACTTGCCTGGTGAGTCCCTATCATGAAATGAAGGGTATACTTATGGGTGAGTTCTTTGATTTCTTTTATTCACCAGAAACCTGTAGTGTTTCTTCTATGTTTCAGATTACTAACCATAAAAATGAGAATAATCACATTTATACTACAAGAACACTTTATGGCTCACTGAGATTATGTTTATAAAATACTTAGTGAAGTTCTGAATACAACAAAATGCTTAGTAGAAACTAATGTGATAATGTGAATGTTAATAAATTACTCTCACTATGTCATGTTGCCAAAAAGTACAATTACATTAGCCAAAGTTGTCATATTACCAAATAACACATCTTTCTAATGATTTTAAATTCAACAAGTGTTGGTAAGTAATAGTAGATGTGACTGTTCCAAAATCTATCTACATAGAAACTCAAAACTAATAAACTTCAGCCCAAAGCAGTATGACTAAAGATGCATTAAATTTCATAGAGTGTCCTTCCAGACTGGTAGTGCAGCTCAGTTAGTAGAATGCTTAAATAACATTCATAAATCTTGGTTTCCATCACAGTACACCATAAAAGTGAACAAGTGGTTTATATTTATAATTTCGGGATATGGGTGATGAAGAAAAGAAGATCACAGACATCCTTAGCTACAGAGTAAGCTCAAAGGGATCCCAAAATACACGAGATTCTGTCTCAAAAATTAGTGGTTATAAATTACCAATGTAATAAACTATTATCCCCTGCAAAGCGTCATCACCCTATCACAACAAACGTGAATTTTAAAAAGAAAGTACATTGAGCACAAAACCTAATTGCGCTATCTTGTCCTGATTTTACTAAGGTAATCATTCCAAATATATTTGTTTGACTATAATATTATTTGAAATATGTATTTCTGAGTTTTTAAAAATAGAGTGGTGTTACGATAAATCTTTCCGCCAAAAGCTGCCTGAGCCCCACCGCCATGTGTGAGCTTTATGCCAGCCGCCTGCCTGAGTTAGGCCCAAATAAATACGCAGAAACTTGTATTAGGTTTAATGCTGCTTGGCCAATGACTAAGATTCCTCATCTGTTAGCTCAGTCTTAATTATCATAAATCTATATATTTTATAAGACTTATCTTATTGGACGCCTTGTTGGCGTCCCTCCTGGCTGGTGGATCACATCCTGCCGCTGGAGGAGGAAGGGGAAAAGAGGGCCCTTCCTGTTTCTCTTTCGCTTAAATATGAGTCTCCTTGCTATGTCACTTCCTGCCTGGATCAGCACTTCTCTACTACATTTCCCAGAATCCTCTTTGACTCCTAGTTCCGTCTAACTTGCTGTCTCTTTGGCCAAACAGTATTTTATTCAATAATCAATAAGATAAACATACACAATAGTACATTCCCCATCAGAGTGGTTTTGTGTAAAGTGGTTTTCTATACATAATAATAAATATTATTTTTTCATTTTACTGTTTTGCATTGAACTAACAAATCAACAGACTTTTGCTTAATTGCCTTTCAGGCACTTTTCAAAACTGTGAGCCCCTAAGATGAAAAAGAAATCATGTACACAAGAAAATCTGATCAGGAATAAGTTGCCTGGATTCACCCTGTAGTGTTCTGTTGTGTGTGACTGTGAGAGTTGCAGGTAAGTGTTCTACCTTAGATGGTGATAGTAGAATCTTTCTGGTATTGTTGGTTATCTTTTACATGAAATACATAGGAATCTGGTAGCAGGAATCTTACTGAACACTTCCCTGTTTCAAACATAAACAACCTCTTCACTTTATTCTCTTGTCTCTAAGTTAATATATCCAAGCCTAAGAGAGCCAAAGAGCCCACCAGAAACTGATAACCTGATGAAAAAGAATGGCTTTTTGATTCAGTAGCAGGTCTCAAAACAAACAAAGAAACAAAAATTTCTGTTGAATAATTCCAAAACCTCAATTTGGTAATTTGTGAAAATATTGCCATTAATACCTCAGAATATAGAATATAAGTGCCCTAAAGAATAAACTAAGTATTACATGTGAATACTAGCTGTGCTTGACTCAGGGCAAACTTGTCTAAATGATCAGTTATGAGTTTTATGAATAGAAAGAGTGAAGACTGTCATTACAAACCAAATTTACATGTTTTTTGCCAACAGAAAATCTTTGTGTAATTATATCTTATGCTAAAACTATTTTTACTTTGTATGGATTGTTTCACAATAAATGATGCACAATTTTATAGTGAAACTGGAAGACAAATGTCACACAATTTCAATTTTATGTGTAACCTAGAAATGATGAACTTATGGGATCAGAGAGCAGAATTGTGGCTATTAGACTTCAATGTGGGTCTTTTAACAATGGGGAAACAATTGGTTTAAGGATATAAAACTGCAGTTGGACAAGAGGCATGGACTCTCTGAAGTCTTGAGATGTACTGAGAGCATGATAAATATGGTTGATAGCAATATGCTATATTTTAAAAGTTGTGAGATAGTATACTTTAAGTGTTCTCAAAAAATGATGAATATGTGTGATATAACATGTTAATTGGTTTAATTTAGCCATGCCATTGTGAACATACTGTATTGTGTATCATAATTGTGCATGACTTTATTTATGAGCTAAATAAATGAATGGAGAAAAAACAATTTCATACTGAAGAGGAAATAGTTAAATTTATGGAATATTGATATTAAGTAATGGCTGGTGGTCAGGAGAGAACACATTTGAAATGAATAGGAAAAGGTTAGGGGTCGATTGCAGTGGATTGCTTGATTAACACATTTTAAAAAGGCATTTGTGAATATGTTAAACATTGAGACTATGGAAGTTAGAACTGTAAAAATACAAGAAGGACAAGCATTTTAAAAACAAGTAGAAACAACTAGTAATGCATTGAACATATCCTATTTAAGGACATAAAGAGGGTAATGACAGGAATGGAAAGATGTTTGGGGTTCTAATCAGAGAGGTAATACGGGCCAAGGATACACATATGGCCTCGGTACCTTTGTGAGGATTATGGATATTTCTCAGAATAGGTTGAGGAAAATTCAAATGTTTAGAACAAAAGAACACCATGATAAACAGAATTTTATACATAACCACTCTGGATGCCATGTTGACTCAGGTCTAGTAAAAACAGAGTTAGGAGGAAGCACAGAGACTTAAAAATAATACAGGTTAAAGTAAGATCAACAGTGACTTCATGGAGGAGGCATATGTTAGAGCAGTGCAACACTGGTTAGATCCTGGGATTGATTTGCTAAATAACCAGAGGCAGTGTGAAACTTAGCACAGAAGAGAATGTGTCTGAATGAATTTCTAAAATGGGGAATAATGCCTCTCTCCTCAGGGTAGAAAGATGGGAAGGGAGCAATGCACAGAACTGCATTTTCCTCAGTTTCTCAGATGACCTCCAGTTAAGGATATTAAGTTTGCATTTGAACCCAAGTACTTAAAGTATATGAGAGAAAGACAGCCAACAAATACAGCATTAAAATCTTTCACATGTGTTGAGAGCATTTAAATCTATCAGTATGTATTCAACAGGATTTATGGGAATGTTAAGAAGAGGCACAGAAATTGATTCATAAGTCTTTTTAAAATTCAAAGTAGGCATAACAATACTTTGAAGATGAAGTTAAAGAAAGGGAAAAGCAACTCAGGCAGCAATGAGAACGGGCGAACATGAAAATTAGTTGGTGTTCAGCAGAATGAAGTAACAATGACATCAAATAATATAGTTATCAAGTCAGATAAGGTTCAGATTTAATTACATATCTAGTCACATCAGGCCACTGAATTTGTAGGGAAGTAAGATTCTGACAGCTCCCATTGTCCATATTATGTCTTTGTATATTTTACATATATATATCAATTTGGTTATTAACATTGATATTTAATAATAAAATATGAGTTGAGTGTAAAGAGCTTCTCTACTTTTTTATGACAATAGAAATAATATTCCAGAAGTATTATTTGGCTACTAAATAGAAGTTATTTCTAAATGAACCTGTATAGTGCTTCATCTTTGATTTCTAAGATTACCAGGAGGAATACTCTGATTTACCTGTCTGCTTTTTTTCTCAGCATAGTCATTAGTAAACAATTCCTATTTTCTGTCTTCTAAGGTAAGAAACTTTTCCTTTATGGAGAAGAGCAACCACACAATATCTGAGTTTATCCTCTTGGGATTTACAACTGACCCCGTCATGCAGCTGATACTTTTTGTGATATTTCTCATCATGTACACCTTAACTGTGTTAGGAAACACTACCCTCATCGTATTGATCTGCAGTGACTCCAGACTCCACACACCCATGTATTTCTTCATTGGAAATCTGTCTTTTCTGGATCTCTGGTTGTCTACTGTCTACACTCCAAAAATCCTAGTGATCTGTGTCTCTGAAGACAAGAGCATCTCCTTTGCTGGCTGTGTGGCTCAGTTCTTCTTCTCAGCTGGACTGGACTACAGTAAGTGTTATGACCACTAAATGGCTATTGCAAAGCCACTGCTTTATTCTCAGGTCATGTCTATAAAACTATGTGCATTTTTTGTAGCAGCCTCTTACATGGGTGGCTTCATTAATTCTTCCATCATCACCAAGAAAACATTTACCTTTAACTTCTGTAATAACAATGCCATTGATGACTTTTTCTGTGACTTACTTCCCTTGGTGAAGCTGGCTTGTGGTGGGAAGGAAGGATACCAGGCACTGATGTACTTCCTCCTGAACTCCAATGTCATGATGCCCATTGCCCTAATCCTGGCCTCCTCCTACCTCTTCATCATTGCCACCATCCTGAGAATCTGATCCACCCAGGGCCACCTCAAGTCCTTCTCCACCTGTTCCTCCCACCTCATCTCTGTGACCTTGTACTATGGTTCCATTCTTTACATCTACTCTCGCCCCCGCACCAGCTATTCTTTAGATACAGACAAAATTGTTTCAACATTTTACACTGTGGTTTTTCCCCATGTTGAATCCTTTGATCTACAGCCTGAGGAATAAGGATGTAATAAAGGCTCTTAATAAACTCTTTAAGTAAATCATTTCCCATATGAGAAGCTCAGAGAACATGAAATGTGCTTATGTGAGTTTTGGTAAGGATGCTGCTAATCTCATCCAAAAAAGTACAAGTATTTCCACCATTCCTGCATGACACTTCAGGAGACCTACTATGGAAATAGGTTAATGTATGTGAAAATAATTATAATATATGCAGGCTTGTATTATTGCCACATTTTCTTAGGTTACAAATAAAACCCAGAGTAAACAATTCCTTTTCTTACTTTGAAGAGTGCAGCTCATAATTGTATACAGAAAATATGGTGGATTCATGTGCACAATCATTTGTTCTGAATGAGAATAATGTATTGACTTCATTTCACTATTTTCCAATGACTAGAAGTCAGTGTGTCAAACATACTCTTTTATCTTACTATATGTGTAAAACTAGAAAATATACCAATTTAGAGGTCAAAAACTGGTTCCAAAACTAAAACAATTGCAGAAAATGTACTCAAAAATGTGTCAGAATCACGTACTCCTGTACCCTGCTTTGGAGTCCGGGTTTCTCTGCACATGTACAGAAACTTGATTCCAATGAAATGAAAAGAAAGCAAGTTTCCTTTCTTAATACAGATCAGAAAACATTCAGATAACATGAGCATACATACCACAAGCTGTATGCTCATTTTTTTCTATATGGAAAAGGAACTTTGTCTCCAGTATCATCTATAATTTATAGTAAAGCTAAGAAGGCAGAAAGGTAAATATAATCAAGCTGTTACTGAGTTAATGGTACTGACATTTTAGAACATTTAAGACTATGATGCACTCCTTCATGCTTTATATGGAATGTTTATAACCTTGAAAATTTCAGAGGAATCTTCCACACTGATTGAAATTTTAGTATAAACTCTTCTGGGAATTTGTTAAGTGGCAACATTTAAATTCTTAAAATAACTGAATTGAATACTTGTATCTTCAGACATATGAGATATACTAAATTATTTTAATTTTTAAAATTTACTTTTTTCTTTTACATTTTCATATATATATATATATAAATATATATATATATATATATATATATATATATATAGAGGCAATGGATTCCATAGAAACATTTTCATGGAAGCCTATAAATGATGGCGACACTTTTTAAAATCCATTTTTTGATTTCTCGAGATTATAATACATTCACAACAGTTCTCCACATCTTCTTTTCTCCCTCCTATCTTCCCATGTATCCCTCTTTGCACTCGTTCAAATCCATGGTCTCTTTTTTTCAGTAATAGTAACAAACATGCATGTAAGTATATATCCCTAGATACCTAAATACAACCTACTCAATCCATATTGTGTGTGTGTGTGTGTGTGTGTGTTTTCAGGACTGACTATTTGATAGTGAATAACTAATTGGTGTTGGTGTGCTCTTCTCTGGGAAAGACTGTTTCTCCCACTCACAGTACACCTTAGTTTCCTGTAGTTCCTTGAGTAGAGTTGAGGCCTCATGAGTTTCCCCTTGTTCACTGTAGCATGTCCATTGTTATTTTCATTGTTCAACACATGCTTTATTTGTACAACTTTGCAGGGTATGTTGTAATTGAGTTTATTTATAAAATGTTTACTATAGTAAACATTTTAAAAGGACACATGACTTTAGAATTACTATTCCATAAGCCTTTTGAACATACACCTTCTACTATAAACTAAGCTGGTTATTGTATTCATTTTCATTCTTCATGGAAATTAACCACTATGATATTTGTGTGGGATATAGGCTCATATGAAGTCTGGCAGTACATATCTTCTATGTGGCTGAGCATGCTAGAAACCTAGAGCATTTTGTGTTCCACAGAAGTTCAGAGCAATTCTTGGGAATTGATTAATTATCTTTACTTGGGCTTTCAATTGACTTGTTGTCTCAATTCAAATTGCCATGCCAAATATGCTTCTCTAAAATTTGGTTCTAAACTTAGGACTGGGCCAAATTATTTCCTTGAGTTTTAGTAAGAGGCAGGCAGTAACTCTGTAGGCATTAAGCCAAGCTTTCCTCTACTCTATCCTGGGGAAGACTTTTGTATTCATTTCAGTGTCATCAGAAGAACCCAGACATGAAAACAAAACCTTGTGTCTACAGAGCATTTTCTTCAAGGCACTACAAACACACACACACACACACACACACACACACACACACACACACACAGAGAGAGAGAGAGAGAGAGAGAGAGAGAGAGAGAGAGAGAGAGAGATGCACACACACTTAAGTTTGTATAAATCTTGCCATTTTTAGCTATAAGGATGGCACTAGGGAATATGGGCCATATGAATTTGTCTGGATGCAAAAAAGCACATACTGCATGAACTCAGATATATATGGTATAAAATTAATAAAACAAATCTACATTATAACAGTAATTTCTGGAACTTGTCATGGCTAGAAAGAATAGATTTTTGGATAAAGAAATAATATAATAATTTAAGTTTTCCAAGATGAAAAAATTAGAAATGTGTTTATACCAAGAAACCACTTTAAAAAATAAACCAGAAACTTTAGTGTATACTTGTTATCCCTGTACTAAAGAGACCAAGATACAAGTACCACTCTGTTTCACTACATCCAGTATAGCCTACCTGATGGACAATAGGCCAGTCTAAAACAATGCAAGCCAGATTGCTTTGAGGAACATCAAGGATTGTCCTCTGACTCCCACACATGCACACATGTGCACATGCACCCCTTTCCACAATACACCCTCAGACATATGATCTTTTTCTCCTGCATACAAAAACTAAAATAAATTATAAGAGGTTGGAGTTTTAAAAGGTGTAAAAGAAATGTGTGTCCCCAGCCAATCTTGATATTTAAGATAACTTATTTATACACATTAGCATTGTTGCATGATACTCAACTTGCATTTGTGCCTATACTTCATTTGATGAACCCAATAAGTCTATATTTGGGAAAATGATGAAATTCAAGAAGGTAAAGTTGATGGTCTAGTTTGAATAGATAAGTGGCTTGATGAGAAGAAAATCTAGCCCCTCTCTATTCCTATCCCTCTTCCTCTCCTTTTTTCTCCTTTCTTCCCTCCTTCCTTCCTTCTCTCTCTCTCTCTCTCTCTCTCTCTCTCTCTCTCTCTCTCTCAGATGGAAACATCCAACATGTTAAATGGACCTCATTAAAAGATAACCATCTATCCACCCTGATCTTGGACTTCCTTCAACCTGTAAAAATCTGAAAAAGAATAGTATATCATTTAAGACACCACTGCATGGCATCCTGTTATCACAACCCAAGCACAACATGGCAATATTATCTTCATTCTGCATGTATAGGGACAGATGTCAGATACATCAAGCTGATATCAACAGAAAAAGGTAGGATTTATACTTAAGATTGTTGGAAGACAGAGCCTCAACTCTACATTATATCAAGAAAATATGGAATACTAAGGTCTCATATGTATTTCCACACCTCCATTATGGAATTCAAAGAGAAGAAAAAATATAGTAAAAGTTCCTGCTTTGATCAATAGGGGTCATTATTCCAGGTCTGTCTTGAAAGGCTCAGCTTTTCATCGTATCTCCTCTAGTGACAGCAATGCACACATGTGGCTCATCGTCCAAAAACTTTTCCAATATTTTGTGTTTCCTATCATTTTATAACTTTCACTGTATGCCAAGTGCTATGCTTTGTGTTTACCTGTGAATATAATCATTGTATTTCTATACTGAACTGTGGCTGAAGATTATCTCTCCTGGCACATAATACTAAAATGTAAGTACTAAAACAGTGTTCTGGTGTGTCTTACTCCATCCAATGAGGATACTATGAATGCCAAAAACTCTTGTGAAGAAGCTGGAAGATTCCTGTAGTCACAAGTCAAAGCTAGAGCAGGACTGAGAACACTAAATTAGATTAAAAATGCTCTCTGTTCCTTCTTCTATGGTAAATTACTCCAAGGCATCTCTAGCCATGGCAATCACTCTCCAACTTTTTAAGAGACCTTTCTGTTCCTCACATCTTAAAGAGCTGAGCAAATAAGTCTAGGTTGCAGATATTCAGCCAAGGTTACCCTACTCTCCTGAGAGTAGCTGATAATCTAGCGAGGTGGGAAAGGGCACTTCTAAGATGAAGTACTGGGGGAAATAGTCTGCAGGCTGCATTCACCCCAGAGAATAGGCACAGCTAGTTACACAAGCTCACTGTATCTGTGGGTCAAACAGACTTAAAAGTCAAAATACTTTCACTGGATGCCAATTCTGCTTAGAATTTATTTTAGCCATTATGGTTGCTCATAAATATGTGATATGAAGGGAGGTGAAGAGGTTGGTCATGGGATACCCACCCTTCACTCCCCAAAAGCTTTTACTTTCTTTCCATGTTTTTCTTTTCTTCTGTAGAACACTCAAGAAATAACCAGTCACAAAACTACTAAATCATCTAGTTTTCTGTCTCTCCTCACTAGGGAGAACACCAATCCCAGAAGGGCATGTTTCATTAATTGGTTTTCACTGTTCACTGTCTTGTTTCTCACGAAGTCCATGAATCACATTTCCTGAGAGGATGAATAAATACACTGAAGAAGAATTTCAATCAAATACATATTGCAGTCCTGTCTAATAATTCCATAAGCCCAAATTCATTGTTTCTTTTCCCATATCTATTGTCATAATCAAACATATGAGTATTGTGTATTCTTCAGAAATACATACCAGACCAAGGAAAGAGTAGTTCACAGAATTCAGATGACCACCTTGATGAGAGGAATTTTGTTTCTTCAAATTAAGGGTGTTTATGAAGCTCTTGTTGAGCATCACACCATCAGAAGAACTATTAATTTTCTACTTCAGAGTTGGCCACAATGAGACTGAGAACAGTGAATACAAAGACATATCAAAATCCCAGGTCTTCCTCTACTTACCTTAAGTTTTATGTGTATCATTTAATTACATTATGCTTCAATCATCTCAGTTGTAAAGTAAAATTGATCTTGAGTTTGGGCCTAACCTAAGTTCCAAAGGAAAAACTAAGCTGCCATTCCCCAGATAGCACAGTCCAACCAGGGTTTTTTTCTTGTGTGTGTGTGTGTGTGTGTGTGTGTGTGTGTGTGTGTGAAGCAGGTCTCTCACTGGATTTGAATTCATCAACTAGGTTAGGTTGACTGTACATCAAACCCCAGGATCACCTATCTACATCATCCCAAGTGAGATAACAGCAATGTTCCACCAGTCCAACTTTTTCACATGGGTACTGGCAATTGATTTCAAGTCTAATGTTTACAAGAAAATTACTTTACCAATTAAACCAATTCCACATTCAGCTTATTTAAAAATTCTTCATGAAATGTATTTTGATCATATCATTCCCTTCCCACAAATCCTCCCTGATCCTTTCTACCCCCTCCCACCCAACTTCATGTTCTTTTGTTCTCTTGCTGTAGCTCTCACTCTCTCCTTGTCAAAGGCATATACCCAAAAGTAGCACATTCATACAAAAAGGACATATGTTCAATGATGTTCATAGCAGAACTATTTGTAATAGCCAGAAACTGGAAGCAGCCTAGATGCCCCTCAACTGAAGAATGGATAGAGAAAATGTGGTACATTTACACAATGGAGTACTACTCAGCAGAAAAAAAAAACAATGGAATCTTGAAATTTGCAGGAAAATGGATGGAACTAGAAGAAACCATTCTGAGCGAGGTAACCCAATCGCAAAAAGACAAACATGGTATGTACTCACTCATATACGGATTTTAGACATAGAGTAAGGATTACCCCCACCCCACAATCCACACTGCCAAAGAAGCTAATAAACAAGGAGTTCCCTAAGAGAGACATACATGGTCCCCTGGAGAAGGGGAGAGGTTCAAGATCTGCTGAACAAATTAGGAGCACGGGAAGAGGAGGGAGGGAGCTAGGAGAATGAGAAGGGGAGAAGAAGAGGGATGTCAAGAACATGAGGGAGCAGAAAGTTTGAGTCAGGGGAAGAATACACGATAACAAGAATGGAGATATCATAATAGACAGAGACATTTTTGGTTTACAGAGAAATCAGGCACTAGGGAAATGTCTGGAGATCTACAAAGATGACACCAGCTAACTATCTCAGCAACGGAGGAGAGGCTACCTTAAATGCCCTCCCCTGATTATGAGATTGATGACTGACTTATATGCCTTCATCCAGCAGCTGGTGGAAGTAGAAGCAGACACCCATAACTAATCACTGATCTGAACTGGAACCCAGATGCAGAGAAGGATCAGTGAAGAGCACGGAGGTCCAGACCAGGCTGGTGAAACACACAGAAACAGCTGACCTGAACATCCAGGAACTCTTGCTACCCAGTCTGATAGCTGGGATACCATCATGGGACTGATCCAGACCCCAGGAACATGGGTTTCTGTGAGGAAACCTCAGAAAGGTTCCATAGGGAACCTTCTGTAGAAGCCCAGTATTTATCCCTAGCATAGGTGTGGACTTTGGGAGCCCATTCCATATAGAGGAATACTCCCTGAGCAAAGACACATGGGGGTGGGCCTAGGCCCTATCCCAAAGGATACGAAAGACTCTGATGACACCCTATGTAAGGCCTCACCATGCAGGGGGAGCAGAAAAGATATGTGACAGATAAGGTTTTAGTTGGGAGGTGGGTGGGGAGGATGGGTGGGAGAAGGGAACTGGGATTGTCATGTAAAACAATCCTGTTTCTAATTCAAATAAAAAAGTTGGAAAAAATGTAAACCAAGATAAACTAGCATACAAACAAAAACAAAACAAAACACAAAAAAGTATACAAAAGTATGAAATCCTTATTGTATTTGTCAATACATGGCATGATGCTTGCCATAGAATGTAATTGATGTACACCACTGGAGAAAAATTAGTTTTGTTTTCACAGACAGTATCAATCACAAATAGATTCTTGGTTAGGAGTACAACTTTGTGTCCATTTACTTCATTTTCTCCATTCTGGGAGTTTGTTTGGTTTGAATTTATGTAGGTCTTCTGCATGTTGTATAGCCTCTGTGAGTTCATATGTGCATCAGCCCTGTTGTATCTTAAAGACACTACTTACTGGGAGTCATCTACCACCTCTGGCTGTTGTAATCATATATTTCCTCATTAGCATAGGGAAAGGTTTGAAAAAGTCATCTGTCTTGGGACTGAGTTATCTAAGTTTCTTATTCTCTGCACATTGTCCAGTTGTGAGTGTCTGTGTAGAATTCATGTTATTTTGTGTGCTTTATATTTTATTTCCTTTTGATAATTTTTGTCTTATTAGTGTGCTTCCTTGCTCTGATTTTAATTATTTGTTTTTAAAGTTTTGAAAGAGAGAACATGAATTTGGAAAGTTGAGAGTTATGGAACCTCTGGGAGAAATTGGAGGGGAAAAGAATATGATCAAAATACATTGTATAGAATTATTTTTATATAAAAAGGTTATGAGGATTGATTCAGACACTTATGCATTCACGGTAAAAAATTTACCACTGGACTAAATCCTCAGCCTTGCTGCAAGTATTTTGGATACAAACATACTGTGACTTATAAATTAAATAAACACATATACATATTTCCCCTGAGAAATGAGGTTCAAATAACTCCAGAGCAGTTTCATGACTACCTATGCTATTCCCACTAGATTGCCAGTCTTCTGTTTCTGTAGAGGATGAGTTCAGTGCTGGAAGTAAAGGTACCAACAGTGTTTCACGAATTCTATTGTAGATCCAACCTTTTGCTCCACATTATCCAATCAAGTTTCTTATTATGTTGCTGAAGTTGTGAAGTGGGGATAATGATGGTGACACCAAGGATGCTCAAAAGTATTACAAAGCACTGTGTTCTGATGTTTCAAACAACCAATCTTTGTTTTCTTCTAGCATTAGAGAAAGAAAATCAAAGATAAAAATGCTCTTCCAGTCAATTTTTAGTGAGGACTTCAGGGTTTACAAATATCTTCTTTCTTCGTTTTTACAATTACTTTTCTTCTACTTATGTGTAGTAACTATGCACAGTAATGAAATATAACATGATAATTCACAGTACTGTTAAGAGAGGGTAATTTGGTATATATTAGTCAGGGTAAAGGAACAGAAATGATAGAGTAAACTAATATGTCTATATATTAGTAAGGGATTTATTAGAATGTCTTATAGTCTGTGAGATAAGTAGTCCAAAGTGACTATTTCCTGATGGAAAGGTCAAGTATCCAGGAGTTTTTCAATCCATAAGACTGGATGTCCCAACCTGTTGCTAATGTCCCAAGAAGGTCCAAGAGACCAGTTTTCAATCACATTGGAATCCTAAAGTAGACTCTAACAGCAGTAAGGACTAATTCAAGATAATGGGTCAGCAAATAAAGGGCAAACTGGTAGAAACCACAAGCTTCCTTCTGGCATGTCCTTTTCTGTGGGTTATCATCATAGGTGTAGCCCAGACTTAGTATGAATCTTCCAATATCAAATTATCCCAATTTAAGGTGGGTTTCCTACCTCCAATAATAAAGCCAAGAAAAATTCCTCACAGATGTGCCCAATGGCTTGGTTTTTAGTTACCTCCACTGTGGAGAAGTAATCCAATTTCCACATGGTAGACTGAGGCAATCACCCCATTCTAACACTGTTTTACTTCTATAGTCTGTTTACTTAAAGGAATCAGATGCCCAAAATGACCAAGGAAAATCTGAGCTTCAATGCAATAAACTCTTGAATCTCCAGGTAAGAGTGTTCCTTGTCTAGAACTAAAACTAAAAGGCCAGAAGACTTTAAGGTTACAGGAGGAGGAAGGAAAAATTTCCCTAGTGGGTTTCTAGGTGTATCAGTGAATGCAACCATTCCCTTTACCACTCCTTGATTCCTGAACTGGTGCATCCTGATGTGAGATAAATTGTACCATATATTGGGCATTTGTTCAAAAGCATATCCTTCCTGCCATGTAGAGAAATTAACTCTAGCCCTCTAGACTTCCTTCACCTATTGATGCTATAATTGTGTCTTCAACATGTCATTGCATTATTGTATGAAGCCAGATATATAAGGATTGCGGGGAACACAGACCAATATATTCAATGATCATAGTCCCATTATTACACTTTTATGGCTGTGAAGTGAGTTCATTTGTCAGAAGAAATGTTGCATGTAATACCATGAAGGTGGATAAAGCATTTGGTAAGTTTTGGCATAAGCATTAAATGAAAAAGAAAAAAAAGGACCTTAAATCAATAACTAGTATCTATTCCAGTAAAGGCAAAGAATTGTATTTTCTATGAAGAAAGTGGTTCAAAATAGTCAACCCACCATCAGGTGGCTGGTTGGTCATACTTGGGGAATGGTGCCATATTAGGGACTCAAAGTTGGTCTCTGCTGTTGGCAGATCTGGCCTTCAGCAGCATCTGTATCCAGGTCATTCTTGATAAATGGAAACCCATGTTCATGTGACCATATATAAACTACATCTGTATCACTGTATCAATTTTTTCCTGGGCCCATTTGGCAAAATCAGGGATGCCTAGGGAAACAGGCTGACTATCCCCAGAATGGGTGAATCTATATACTTGATTATTGAACTTCTCTTCTGCCAAAGCCACCTTTTGCTGAGTATTTACATGGACACATCCTTTACCCATTCAAAGTGATCTATCCAATTTATCCATGTGTTTGTTCCTAAATGTCTTTCTCACTAGTTTTCCAATCATGCTTCCTCAAAGTTCCTGACAATCCAACCAATCCATTGGCTACAACCCATGAGTCAGTAAATGCGTCAGCTAACTTCTCCTTCCAAGAAAAATGGGCATACTGCCTGAAGTGTGAAGACTTCCCTGCACACTGTGAAGACTTCCCTTCACTGCTGCCTTTCAGGGTCGTCTCAAAAAAGAGATTGTAGAGCAGCAGCTATCCAATTTTGAATAGTACCTGCATAAGGTGAAGAATTATTAATAAACCAGGCTCTAATCTTCTCTTCCTCAGTCAATCAATCATAGGACACACCTCAAAAGGCTATATGTGCATAGGTGGGAAAAGAAGTCATTGCAAGACTAACAGAAACAGGCATTTTGGCAACTTCATGTGACCTGCTAATGTCACAGGACCTGTTCAGTTCTGAACACATGCACATTACTTCCATTTGATAATAGATTGCTTTATGAATTGGTGGGTCAGATAGTACTTACCTCATGATTGTCAGCTTAGTTCATCTAGAAAGTAGGTGGTCCATTTTCAAAGTTTCAGTTCCCAAAGCCCAACTCTAGGTCCAGAGCTGTCTCTCAAAGGAAGAACAGTAGTTTACAGATTATGGTAAAGCTTTTTTGCAAAACCCCAAGCTTTCCTCTGTGATTAACCTCTAGGGGCCTGACATAGACTCTCCAAACAGCATCTCATCTGTCATAGAAACCTGCAAGCAGCGTGGACCTGCTGAAAAACTTTCTTCTGTTCCAGGCCCCATACAGAGTTAGCAGCCTTCAATTTTATTAGAATATGGGCCATAGTAACACACCCAAATGAGGAATGTGTTTCTTTTAGAATCTAAATAGGACTACTAAGTGTTACACTTCTTCCTTTGTGGTCAGATAAGCAGGCTCACACAAAGATGGAAAGGGCAATATTATAGGATGAGGAAGTTGGGATGCAGCCTCTGCTAAGAGTAAAGAGACTATCTCAGGTGAGATTAAACCCTTCAGAATCTGGGGGTTAAAAGTTCACAACCTTGGTAGAGTCTTTCCACATGTCCCCATCCCAATTTACAGGAACCCATTCATTATCAGTCACTGAGTGCCCTTACATTAGCCTCTAAGACCCTCTGAGTCTGGGACTTGAATTATAGCTGGAATTCAGCCATTCTTAAGCAAGTTTCATTTTGATTTTCTGAAAATTGAGCTTTATGATTTCTAGAAAAAGATTCTCTTCCAGGCCACACTTGGAAAATTTAGATTGTGTATGTGTCAGTCAATTATATTCCTCAGTTCATTCTTTGACATTGTATCCTGGAAGTTGCTTAATTTTACCTCAAAATTCATACATTTTCTTGTTACTTTATCCAGAAATGCTAGAAACAACCAAACAGCATCAGTATTTACTTATTTTTCTACAAATTGTCAAGAATTTTATATACATAGTCCCTAAATTCCTTTTTCCAGAGGAAACCCATCAGATATTTGCTAAAGATAGGTGTTCAGTGTTCTCCATATTACCAAGGGAGCCCACAGTAACTGTAGTTTTTGACAAATTGCCAAGACTTCTCCAGGTACTTAAAAAAATCTTACTTACTATTCCTTTTCCCTAGAAACATTCATAGTATAACAATCTGTATTAGACAGGGTTCCCCCAAGGAACATAAATAATAACTTTATTTGAGTTACTTACAGGTTTTAGTACAAGTAGCTCAACAATAACCATCTCCTGACAGAATATCTGAGGATTCAGTAGGTATCCCCTCCAAGATACTGGATGTTCCAATAATTCAAGACAACTGTTAGTTTTCATTTGACATTGGAATACTAAAGGAATATGCTCTAATACATGTGAAGGAATGGGTCAGGATAAATGAAATCACCAGTGAAAGTGGGGGCAAGCAGAGGGAAGTCAAATCTCCCTTCTGCCATGTCCTCTACAGGATGTCACGAAAAGATATGTCTGAGATTTAAGGTAATTATTCTATTCTCAAATAACAGAGGCAAGAAAAATCCCCAACAGGTATACCCAGCTGCATGGGTTACAGTTACTTCCAAATGTACTCAAACTGACAATCAAGATTAACAAAACATGGTAATACCTCCTCCTCAGCACTCCTGTATGTTTGGAAACTTTAAGCTCTATTTGTCTAATATATATTACAGATATTACTAGCCCAAAATGAATAAAATCATGTCATTTGTTATTGACATATCTGCATAGAAAAGTATCTTTTATCATTTTAATCATGTTTAAATATTTTTACTTATTCTTTGAAATTTCATTCACATATGCAATGAATTTTGATATCAAGCAGACCCCTCCAACTTCCACTAGTTGGGAATCCATCTTTCCCTGACTTCATATCCCTTTTATTAACTATTATTTTCATTAGTCCCCTAGCTTCAATTATTCTGACCATGTGCAAATGGCTGTGCTGACATCCACTGTGGCATGGACAACCCAGAGGCAGACACATAATGAAAGAAAAGGGACTCTCAGGAACCACCAGCTGCCAATCCCTTCTCAGGTAGGAGTGGAGTGAAGCCCCTCTCCATCCTTGCTGAAATTCTGGTGGTTTTGATCTTGTGCAAGTCTTGTGAAGAAAATCATAGCAGCTGTGAGCTGATGTGTGCATTGGCCATTCCATAACCAGAAGACAATGTTTCACAACACTCTTCCTCATCCTTCTGTCTTATATTCTTTCCAACTCCTCTTCTATTTGCTGTGGTTGGGCAAGGGTTGATATAGCTTGCCTATCTATGTCTGAATACTCACAATCCCTTATTCTCAGCACTTTGACCTATTATGAGTTTCTGCATTACATTCTGTTCATTACAAAAAAAAAAAGTTTGTCTAACGAAAGTTGAAAATAGTAAAAATCTACAAATATAAACATATGTTTTAAGAAGGGAATTTGACAACATGAAAATTTAGCAAAGCACTATATTAGAGTTTCCCTGGACTTATGATCTTCCCAGCCACAGCCTTTTGACCAGAATATAATAACAGAAATTAAACTACTCTTGTGACCCAGGCCTCAGATCCGGTCAGAATATGAAAAATTATTTATCATACCACTATTAAACCAATTTGAACAGTTTGCCTGATGAGTCCCTATTATGGCATGAAGGGTATAGTTATGGGTAAGTCCTTTGATTTCCTTTATTCTCCAGAAACATGCAGTGTTATTTCTATGTTTCAGATGATTAATCATAAAAATGTGAATAATCACATTTATACCACAAGATCATTTTCTGGCTCACTGAGAATATGTTTATGAAGTACTAAGCAAAGTACCCAAAACTAAAAAAACCCTTGGAAGAAACTAGTAGGATAATGTCAATGTTAATAAATTACTCTCACTATGTCACGTTGCTGAAAAAGAACAATGACATTAGCCAAAGTTGTCTTATTACCAAAAAAAGCCATCTTTCTAATGATTTTAAATTCAAGAAATGATTGGTAAGTCATAGTAGAGGTGACTATTCCAAAATCTATCTAAATAGAAACGCAAAACTAGTGAACTTCTCAGAGGGAGCCACTATAGGTCCGAAAAGAGATCTGGAACTAGGGAGATCTCCAGAGACCTACAAGGATGACACGATCTGACTGTCCGGACAGTGGAGGAGAGGATGGCCTAGAAGCCCTTCCCCTAGAATGAGATTGATGACTACTCTCTATGCTATCCTAGAGTCCTCATCCAGTGGCTGATGGAAGCAGAGACAGACATCCACAGAAATACACTGAGCTGAAATCTGGAACCTAGTTGAAGAGAGGGAGGAATGAAGAACGAAGGGGTCTGCACCAGGTTGGAGAAACCCACAGAAACAGTTGGCCTGAAAAAGGGAAAGCATATCGATCCCAGACGCTCTTTGGGAGGCCAGTACGGGACTGATCCAGCCCCCTGATCATGGATGCCAATGGGGAGGCCGCTGCACTCCGGGGAGCCTCTGGAGGTGGACTGGCCTTTTGCCCTGGTGTGTGTGAGGGACTTCGAGAGCCCATCCCACTTGAAGGGATTCGCTTTGTCGAGGGGACTTACATGTGAAACAAGCCTGTTCCCTAACTTGAATTAATAATAATAATAATAATAATAATAATAACAATAATAATAATAATAATAATAAAACTAGTGAACTTCATCCCAAAGCAGTATGGCTAAATATCTAACAAATTTCATAAGAGTATCATTCAGAACTGGAAGTGTATTTCAGTCAGTAGAATTCTTATCTAATATTCATAAAATCTTGGATTCCATCCCAGCACACCATAAAGGTGTACAAGAGGTAGATATCTGTAATTGCTGAATATGGGTGATGAAGAAAGGAAGATGAGAAGTTCATAGACATTCATAGCTACAGAGTAAGCTCAAAGAAAGTTTAAAATACAAGAGACTCAGTCTCAAAAATTAGTGGTTATAAATTATGGATATGCTAAACTATTATCCTCTGCAAGTCCTCATCATCCTATCAGAACAAACATGAATTTTAAACAGAAAGTGCATTGGACACAAAATCTAATTACACTATCTTGTCCTGATTTTACCAAGGTAGTTACTTCCATACATATTTGTTTGACTATAATATTATTTACAATATGTATTTCTGAGTCTTTGAAAATAGAGTGGTTTTGAAAATAGTGGGTTTCTATGCATAATAATAAACATCATCTTGTTAATTTTACTATTTTGCATTGAACTAGCAAATCAACAGACTTTTGCTTAATTGCTTATCAGATACTTTTCAAAACTGTGAGCCCCTGAGATGGGAAAGAAATCGTGTACACAAGGGAATCTGATCAGGAATAAGTTGCCTGGATTCACCCTGTAGTGTTCTGTTGGGTGTGACTGTGAGAGTTGCAGGTAAGTGTTCTACATTAGATGGTGATGGTAGAATCTTTCTGGTATTGTTGGTTATCTTTTACAAGAAATACATAGGAATCTGGTAGCAGATGATTTGGTCAGTTCTTAAGAAATTTTATTGAAGACTTCCTGGTTGCAAACATCCACTACCTCTTTGGTTTATCCTCTGGTTTGTAGATTATCAAAGCCTAAGTGAGCCACAGAGCCTACCAGATAAAACTGATAACCTGATGAAAAGGAGTGGCTTTCTGATTAAGTAGCAAGTCTCAAAACAAACAAATTAAAATTTCCTGTTGAATAATTACCAAACCTCAATTAGGTAATTTGTGAAAATATTGAAATTAATACTTCAGAACATAGAATATGAGTGCCCTAAGGAATAAACTAAGTACTACATGTGAATACTAGCTGTGCTTGACTCAGGGCAAATTGGTCTAAGTGATTAATTATGAGTTTTATGAATAAAAACAGTAAGGACTGTCATCAGAAGCCAAATTTTAAAGTTTTTTCAACAGACAATCTTTTGTAGTTATATCTTGTGCTAAAACTACTTTTACTTTGTATGAATTGTTTCACAAAAAATGATACGCAATTTCATAGTGAAGAGGAAAAGAGTTAAATTTATGGAATATTGATACTAAGTAATGGTGAGTGGTCAGGAGAGAACAGATGTGAAATGAATAAGAAAAGGTCAGGGGGTAGATTGCAGGTGATTGCTTGATTAGCACAATTTATAAAGGCATTTGAGACTATGTTAAACACTGAGACTATGAAAGTTACACCTGTAAAAATACAAGAAGGACAAGCATTTTAAAAACAGGTAGAAACAACTACTAATGCATTGAATATATCCTATACAAGGCCGTAAAGAGGGTAATGACAGGAATGGAAAGAAGTGTAGGAGATCTGATCAGAGAGGTAATTTCTAAATGAACCTGTAGAGTGTTGCATCTAAGATTTTCATGATTACCAGGAGGAATAGTCTGATTTGCCCTTCTGCTATTTTTTTTTCAGCTTAGTCATTAGTAAACAATTCTCATTTTCTGTCTTCTAAGGTGAGAATCTTTCCCTCCATGGAGAGGAGCAACCACACAGTATCTGAGTTTATCCTCTTGGGATTCACCTCTGACCCCGTTGTGCAGCTGGTCCTGTTTGTGATGTTTCTCATCATGTACACCTTAACTGTGTTAGGAAACACTACCCTCATCATATTGATTTGCAGTGACTCCAGACTCCACACACCCATGTATTTCTTCATTGGAAATCTGTCTTTTCTGGATCTCTGGTTGTCTACTGTCTACACTCCAAAAATCCTAGTGATCTGTGTCTCTGAAGACAAGAGCATCTCCTTTGCTGGCTGTGTGGCTCAGTTCTTCTTCTCAGCTGGACTGGACTACAGTGAGTGTTACCTGCTGGCTGCTATGGCTTATGACCGCTATGTGGCCATCGCAAAGCCACTGCTTTATTCTCAGGTCATGTCTATAAAACTATGTGCATTTTTTGTAGCAGCCTCTTACATGGGTGGCTTCTTTAATTCTTCCATCATCACCAAGAAAACATTTACCTTTGACTTCTGTAATGACAACATCATTGATGACTTTTTCTGTGACTTACTTCCCTTGGTGAAGTTAGCTTGTGGTGGGAAGGAAGGATACCAGGCACTGATGTACTTCCTCCTGACCTCCAATGTCATGATGCCCATTGCGCTAATCCTGGCCTCTTACCTCGTCATCATTGCCACCATCCTCAGAATCCGATCCACCCAGGGCCGCCTCAAGGCCTTCTCCACCTGTTCCTCCCACCTCATCTCTGTGACCTTGTACTATGGTTCCATTCTTTACATCTACTCTCGCCCCCGCACCAGCTATTCTTTAGATACAGACAAAATTGTTTCAACATTTTACACTGTGGTTTTCCCCATGTTGAATCCTTTGATCTACAGCCTGAGGAATAAGGATGTAAAAGAGGCTCTTAATAAACTCTTTAAGTAAATCATTTCCCATATGAGATGCTCAGAGAACATGAAATGTGCTTATGTGAGTTTTGGTAAGGATGCTGCTGATCTCACCCATAAATTAAGTACAAGTATTTCCACCATTCCTGCATGACACTTCAGGAGATCTACTAGAGAATGTAGGTTAATGTGTGCAAAAATATTTAATTATAAAATATGCAGTTATTGTTGCTACATTATCTTACACTACAAATGAAACCCAGAGTTAACAATTCATTATCTTGCTTTGAAGAGTAGCAGCTCACTATTCTAGCAGAAAATTTGGTTTATTAGTACATGGAGAACAGTATATATACAGTCATTTGTTCTGAATGAGAACAATGTATTAACTTCATTTCACTATTTTCCAATGACTAGATGTCAGTGTGTCTAATGTATCATTTTATCTTACTATATAAGCAAAACTAGGCAGTATACCAATCTAGAGGCAAAAGACTATTTCCAAAACTAAAACTATTTTAGAAAATGTACTCTTACAACTATCTATGTTAGCAACACATAACCATACCTCCTGCTTTGGAGTCAGGGTTTCTCTGCACCATGTACAGAGACATAATTCTAATCATTTTAGAAGCAAATATGTTTCCTCTTCTAAATACAAATCAGAAAATATTCAGATTCTATGAGCATGACTGAGTGAGATTTATGCTCCTTTTCTCTATATATAGAACAGGAATCTTGGTTCCAATATCATTCATAAATGATACAGGTAGAAAAATCAGAAAGATAAGTACAGTCAAGCTATGATTGAGTTCATGGTACTGACTTTTTATAACATCCAAGACTATGGTAAGCTCCTCAATGCTTTATATGGAATGTCTAAAACCTTGAAATATTCAGAGGGATCTTCTACACTAGTTTGAAATTTTAGTATAAACTCTTCATGGAATTTGTTTATTGTTTGCAACACTTAAATTCTTAACATAAGTGAATTACATAGTTGTATCTTCATACATACAAGTTTTAATAATTTTAATTTGCAGAATTTACTTTTTCCTTTACATTTTTCATTGTTATATATTCATTATACATAGAAATGGATTCCATAGGAACATTTTATGGAAGCCTGTAAACTGTGGTGCCCCTCTAAAAAAGCCATTTTTATTTCTTGAGATTATAATATATTTATGTCATTTCTTCACATCCCCTTTTCTCTCTTCATATCCTCCCATGTATCCCTCTCTGTACTCTTTCAAATTCATGGTTCTTTTTCATTAATAGTAACATACTTGCATATAAATATGTATTCCTAGATACCTAAATACAACCTGCTCAATCTGTGTAGTGTGTGTGTGTGTGTGTGTGTGTGTGTGTGTGTGTGTGTTCAGGGTTGACCATTTGATTGTGAATAACTAATTTGTATTGGTGTGCTCTTCCCTGGGAAAGACTATTTCTTCCTCTCACAGCATACCTTACTTGCCTGTAGTTCTTTGAGTAGACTTGAGGCCTCATGAGCTTCTCCATGATCACTGTAAAATATCTCTTGTTATTTCCACTGTTCATTACAACTTTGCAGGGTATGTTGTAACTGAATGTTTTTATAAAATGTTTATTACAGTAAACATTTTTAAAGGACATATGACTTTAGAGTTACTATTCCATAAGTATCTTAAACACAAGCATTCTACTATAAACTGAACTGGCTGCTCTATTCATTTGCATTCATAGTAGAAATTAATCAATGTGATATTGGTATGGTGCACAAGCTCATATAAATGCTATCAGTCTATTCAATGTTGCTGAGCAGGCCAGAGACCTAGAGCATTTTGTGTTCCACAAACGTTCAGAACAGTGATTCTCACAATTCCCTATCACTTGTACTGTTGGGAATTGACTATTTTTTTTTTTTAGCTTGGGCCTTTGATTGATTGGTTGTCTCATTTCAAATTGCCTTGCCATATACTCTTCTCTAAAATTTGTTTCTAAAATTAGGACTAGGCCAAATTGTTTTATTGGGTTTTAGTATGAGGCAGTCAGTAAACTCTGTAGGCGTTAAACCAGGCTTGCCCCTTTCTCCTCTATCCTGGGAAACAATAATCTATTTATAGTGATATGCCTGAATGCACTTGTAAAATGCACTACAAACTACCTTATATATATATATATATATATATATATATATATATATATATTAAACAAAACCAACACAGACTCAGTTATCTTGTGGCTTATGTTTAGGAAACTATTTAGGAAACATAAAATCACAAGTTCATGAAATTTTACAACATAGGATATAATAAAAGTACAAAACCTGTTTACTTTGAAAGAGTTCTAATGGATTTTGTTTTATTCAGTTACTACAAAGTCAGATTCTCGGAGAATAGTGGATGCATCCAAATTTAAACATGTGTCAACTTGACTTTCTCTATTTATTTAAAACCATGCAATTAGATTAGCATTTTCATTCTAATTAATATCCATTCTGCTTAAACTGCATTGGAGGATGATACCAATACTACATGAAATTGTAGGTGTTCAGTAAAATAACTCTCCAACTTACAAGTTTGACTTCCATGGAGCAGGCAAATGGAGTTGACAGAGCTCACTGGTTATCTTTGGACAGTTTTTTTTTTTCTTAATGTCTGGACATAATCACAACAAAAGTAGGATTTAGACCATAAGTATGCATAACAAAGAATCTACTTTATGCTTTCTCCCCAATCCTCCAAATTGAGCCCTCTTGCATTCATAAATCTGAGTCTCCGTGAAAAAGCAAATGTGGTGAAAGGCTGTTGCAATTGTGCCCAGCACTGTCAAGATCCCCGCTTCTTCTAATCCAGACAAAGTCAGACATGTCACCACGTGAATAAAGCTCCTGTTATTCTTTTGAAAAAAATATTCCATAGATTCCTGAGATTACAGTGTAATTATATCATTTCCTTTTCCCTTTTCCTGCCTCAAAATCTTCCTCACAAATTCTCCTTGCTCTCTTTAAAATCTGTTTACTTTTTCCATTTATTCTTCTTTCTTTTTTTAATTAATTTCTATTTAAATTAAAAACAATCTTATTTTACATACCAATCCCAGTTCCTTCTTCTCCTGTCCGCCCACTCCACCTGCCATCTTCCAATCCTAATCCCCATACACTTCTATGGGTATAAACACAGATATTAGACAGTATGTGTGCTTTGGCTTTATCATATCTTTCTATAAAGCTGTCATTTGAGTAGCTATGAAAAAAAGATAAAATTTCCCATTTCTCTCCAATGCCAAAACATTGGCAAAGGGAATTAGTTTTTCTGACTATGAGAAATAAAAATATTGAATATTATAGAAAAGTATGTGATGAGAATAATAACAATATGAGCACACGAAGTCAAGCAGCCATCAGGAATGAGTGAGAAAACAAATATCTCTTGTTATTGAAGGTTGAAACAACAGACCCCACTAGCACAATGAAGTAATGAGAAAATAGAAGTTCTGTGAGAAAAAAATATTCAAGAATATTTGCATCTTTTGATTTCATATTATTTTTAAAAACCTACAACTTAATACCATTTTTCAGTTATATTTGACTTTTTTGAAATCCACAGATATATGAACTAGATATAACTAGGCCTACTGTTTTATGAAAAAGTTGTGCTACTTCATTTCATTTTGATAAGCTTTCTTTGCGTAGAGAAAAGTGCATTTGTGTGTTACATCACAAGGCAGCCTATTGTTCTACCATTCACACTGCAACTACTTATGCAAAAGCTTGATGCAACACAAGTTATATTTAAATAAAAATGTTACAACTTAATGTTTTTTGTGCAAATGTACTTTGAGATTACAATTCAAAGGTATGAGTTTAGAGAATAGAATAGTGTGTTATCTGATTGGCATACACTTATAGGCTAATATAGTCTCTAGCAATAACAAGTATGTTTGGTACCCAGGTTTTCAAGGCAGGCCTCTACTGTTGCTCATAAGGTAGATTTCAGAAAAAGACTGAGGACATGTATGATATCCAAAATGAATGACAAACTTTTATTTTCATACCAAAAAATGTTATTTAAAATCACATGAGTTTCTTCAAAGAAGAAAATACCTATGAACACTACAATATCCATATCCATCAGACCAAGAAGTCCTGAAATGTACATTAATGTCACTTCTACTCTACAGATAACAAACAACCATCTACTTCTACTTCAGGGACACTCAATTGGAGGTAATTGGTGCTTGTTACTACAAACCTATAGGTGGTGAGCCAATACAGCCTAGTGGAGAACCTGCTGCTGCCACTTCCCTAAAGAAATACAATTTCTAACTGCATTATAAATGTTATCCTTCAAGGACAATATTGAAGAGGTATGGATAGAGTGGACAGCCTTGTCTTGTCCCTGATTTTAGCGGAATTGGATTGAGGCTTTTCTACATTTAATTTGATGTTGGCTGTTGGCTTGCTGTATATTGCTTTTATTATGTTGACGTATGTCCTGTTATCCCAGGGCCTGCACTGATATGCACTAGATCTGATGCATATATATTATAGCTTTCAGTTGAGTATTTGTATGGGACTCTGAGTGTATGTGAATGAGGATCTCTGGTTCTTGTGCCTTCGCTTGGGCTCTTTTCCTTCTGTTGGGTTGCCTTGTCCAAATTTGATACAATGGTTTTTGTTTTATCTTTATTGTATTTTATTTTGCTATGCTTGTTGTTATCTCTTAGAAGCCTGTTATTTTCTAATGAGAGACAGAAAGTGAGTGGATCTGGATGGGAGGGACAGTAGGGAGGGACTGAGGGGCAATTGTAACAGGAGAAGGAAATATAAACAAGATACATTGTGTATGTATTGTATAAGAAAAATCTATTTTCAAAGTTTTTATATGGTAATACATTGAAAAAGAAGGACATTACTTGTATCCTTTGTATTATCATTATAGGCAAGACTACAATGTGAACTGTGCAATACTGTGTCTTATGGGTAATAATGTACCATTGAAGAGGAGAATCCAGGTCTATTACAAAGAGTAGTACGGTCTAATACTTCATTTCTAAAATACCAACTGAAAATTAACTGTATAGCATAATTAGGTCATTCTCACAACACCAATTTTCTTTCAAATAATGAAGTTCCAACGTTGAGTTTTAGGCTCTTCACTTGCAAAGTATATGATTTTGAATATTTCAATTACAATGTTAAAAGGAATAACTAAAATATCGACTGAAACTCTCAATTATGACAAACATTTAACTGTGAGTTGACATAAAATACCTGGAGAAAGAAAACAATCATAGGGTCAGAACACAGCTGAATATTTGTTACCTTATATATGCCTTTTCTGTTTAATTATAATATTTTATTTCAATGGGACTTATATTAAAGTAAATCATAAATATTAGAATTTATAATCTTAGGTTAAAGTAAGAAACTAAAATGTGTTTTTGGTCTCAGGTTTAGAATATTTTATTTTTTAGTACTTAGTTAAAAACTTTTTTTACTTTGAATTATACATATGTTGTCTGGGTTTGAGTGTGGGTATATACACCTTTTTTACATGTGGTTATATAGGCCAGAGGTATCAGATGTACCTGAAGCTTAAGTTATAGGCAGTTGTGAACCACCTGTTGTGAGTACTGGCACTGACCTCTGGTCATCTGAAGGGACAATACATACTCTAATCTCTGAGCCATGTCTCCAGTACTTTATTGCTATTTAACCCAAAATATATCTTAAGAACATGTGTATTAATATCCTAGTGCAGAAAATGGAAGTTTTACACAATCAAGTTTTATCTGTTTAATTACAGTTATAGGAAGAATTTAAAAGACATCTTACTAAGAATACTAATATATAAAACCTTGAACATTTTTTTTTGCAATCTAACCATTTTGAATCATTTCTACATCTGATACAGTTCATGTACAAAACTTCATAGTCAAACTAACTGAGAGAAAACAATCGGACTCTTTTTATTTCATTCTTTTGCCATGGTCATCCCAACCAAAAAAGGGGATGTTATTGATTAACAATTGTATTGCAGATAGACTCATTATTATGTATTTGGAAAATTTTAAGTAGCAAGACTGTATTAATCATATTGAGAAGAAGGTTGTTAAGGCTTTCAATGCTATTACTACATTGTTTCAACTTTAACTATGATAGAAATACACGCAAGCAAGTCTATAAGTGAGTTTTTAAATAACCATGATACATAAAAGGCAGACTTCATGTTTGTTGTTGTATATTCTGTATCAACTTCTTAAAAGCTTCTTTAACATCTTTGTTTCTCAGGCTATATATGAAAGGGTTGAGTAATGGATTGATGATGGTGTAGAACATGGCAGCCACTTTGTCTCTCTGCAAGGAGTAGTTGGAGCTAGGCCTTGAGTACATGAAGAGCAAGGAGCCATAGAAAAGGGTGACAGAGACCAGGTGAGAGGCACAGGTAGAGAATGCCTTTTGTCTTCCTGAGGCTGAGTGGATCCTCAAGATAGCAAGGAGAATGTTGCAATAAGAAATGAGGATGGCAAGAATACTAGAGAGTACAGTGAAGCCCACCATGCTAGAAAGGATTTTCACGTAGACACGAGTGTCTGTACAGGACATTTTTACCAATGGAAGCACATCACAGAAAAAGTGATCAATAATATTTTTACCACAGAAACTTAACCTGAATGTGTTTGCAGTATGGGCTATAGCATTCAAAAACCCTCCTACATAGGACCCAGCCACTAGCCCAGTACAGAGAGAAGTTGACATGATGCTTGAATAAAGCAATGGACTACAAATTGCAGCATGGCGGTCATAGGCCATGGAAGCTAGCAGGTAGCACTCAGTATAGGCTGCTACACAAGAAAAGAAAAACTGAGCCCCACAACCGGCCAAGGAAATACTCTTATCTTCTGAGATACAATTGACCAAGATTTTAGGTATGTACACAGAATTATACCAGAAGTCCAAAAAAGATAGACCACCTATAAAAAAGTACATGGGCGTATGCAGCCTAGAATCAATACGGATTAAGATAATCAGGGTCATATTTCCTGACAAGGTCATGAAATAGATGGATAGAAATATTACAAATAGAATCATCTGCCAGTGGGGGTCTTCTGTGAAGCCCAGGAGGATGAATTCAGTAAGGATGGTGCGATTGTCCACCTCCATGTCCACAGACAGGAAAGTCAGGGTGGGGAATTGCAGGGAACCCACAGTTTAGAGATAATCCCAGTAAGAGATTTAGAGAAATCAGCAACCAACAATATTGGACCTGAATAACATGATGTGATGAAAACATAGATTAGTGATATAATCAATTTAAAAAGTAAGTAATGTATCCATCAAATCAACAAAGAAAAGAAGGTCTACAGATGTTTACTCTTTTAAATAATTACATGATATCAAAGCACTTTGGGGTTTCATGCTGTGACTATAGAAGATTCCTGGAGTCAGAGTAATAACCCAGGTTTTAAATTAGAAATTTCAAAGTTTAATTTCTGAACTACATCATTTGGGGACAGCCTCTTATCAAAAAAAAAAAAAAAGACACAGAAAGCTCATGAACATTACTTACATTTTTCTGCCGTGTGGTCAGACATGGTAAAAGAGGTTATACAAGAAAATACTCAATAACTGCATGTGGTAGTTAGTAATCATATTTAAAGGATGTATTAAATAAAATGTTGTATTCATTTTTAAAGTAAAAATTAAATACATGCATGAAAAATGACACCATTTAAATGTAATCAAAAAGACAGATAACTATCTAGAGTATAATTCTAATTTCTCTGCCACATGTACTGCTACAAAGAAATTAGACAGTTGCTATGAAATTTAAAACACTAAATCATCTTTCCATAAGCTAGGAACTGTGGTGATATTTTTATGAGCAGCAGGATATTGTAGTCTTCCAAATTATAAGTACAAAGAGAAATGCATATTTATTACTACTTTCCAAATATAACTCCAAGTCCCATTTCCCACCACTTTCATTCTTGCTTTAGCTGTATAAGGGACAGGAGAAGCCTGTTGCACGTATTGATAGAAGGGAAGCACAGACTAATCAGGAAGCCCACAGTTATCAGCCTTGTCTGCTGAGCAGCTCAGTTCATAATGCAACTGAGAATCTCCTTGATCAAGCGTATCTTTACTAGTTTTCTTTAATGTACCTAACTGGAAATACAAACCACACTTAAGAGGAGCTCCACATCCAGCAGTAGACAGCCAGCATAAAATGAAGTCAAGGGTACTTTTGGAGATGTTTTGTCTCCTAATGCTTTGTTCAGATGTTTTTTTTTTTCCTTGTCTTTTGCTCATCTGTTACTGTTTCTGATTTTGTGATTTTATAGGGTGTGTGTGTCTGTCTGTTGATATATGTATGTGTTTCCTGTGATTTCATTTTCTTTTTGCTTTTTTATATCTCCCTTTGTTTTATTCTGAATTTTTGCCCATTTTTTCTAATAAACTGATAAAAGGTGTAGAATCAGATTGCGAGGAGAAGAGATGAGGGAGGGGAAAAATTTTCAGAATACATGGGATGAAAAAATAATTTTCAAAAAGAAAGGCAAGTATGTTTCCCAAATGTTAACCCATTACCTCCAACAGAAGAGAATGGCTATGTCCTCCCTTCTCTTCACTGACACCATGCTAAATCTGACTAACATTTACTTCCTTAATTTCTGAAAACGTTTTAAAACTATTTATTTTAAAATCACCTTTTTCCACTTTGCGTTAGGTTGTATGGAAATATAAACATGATTGGTGTGTTTTTCACATTACAGATGCACAACATAAGGAAGAGTCTAGGTTTCAATGAGAGGACATCCAAAGGCTTAAAACCTTTGAATTTCATATCTACAAACATGAAAAAATGCTATTGAAAGTTAGAAGACAACCTTCAGTATAATGTTTTGTTTTTCCAAACTGTCTGAACACAAGCAAAAGTTTCAATGCACAAATGGAAGATTTTACTACAGTGTTTGAATTGAGTAAAATAATGCAACTGGTTAGTGCTTTATTCTTTCCCTTGGTGTTTACTACTGTAGTGTAGCACATAATATAGTTTCTAACAAATATTTCTACAGTAAACTGGTGTGCTATTGGCATTATATCTCATAACTATCTCCTGAAACTGATGTTTACTCCTAAACTATTATTCAAGGCAAAATTTACTGGCTGATAGACAATTCCACTCATAATGTACTATCCCATAACTAAAAAGAAAGAATAAAGGTAAAACTAAAGTTTCACTCTCAAGGTCTCTAACCCACCAGGAATTTTTAATCAATTGTAAGTTAAAATATGCCTGGGAAGCAAGAGGCATAAGAATTTCAGAACGTATCACACTAAGTCCTCCAACTGAGAATAATCTATCCGAATAAATCTTACTCCACATAGCATGACTTATGAAGATGTTACCCATAAGGAATGGCTTAAAGAATGATATTCATTAAGACATTTCTAGTCCCATAGCATCACTCTCCTACTTTCCTCATTGGAGCCCATTAATTTTAGTGGAATAAATGGGACATTCTGGCATTTTAAAACCAACACCAATATGAAAACATCATACCTTGGATGTCTGGGAAGCAAACTGCAAAACAATAACTAAATTCACAAGAATGGCACAGGTTCTGTCCTCTTAATTTCCCACAAGTAAATGAGAATATTCATGGTATGAGAAAATGTAGGGTTATAGATAAGGAACACTTGTCTCATTAAATGAGATTTGACTGAGAAGGAAGGAGTGCATTGTGATACAAAAAATACATTTAGAACCCACACAGACCTATGCTAATTATAACCAAGAACATAGACTGACTACCTTGCTTTGCTAAGCTTGGCTATCAATGCTTACCTTTATTTAGAAAGGCCAATTCCTAAATGTGAAACCTTTTACCTGCTCTCTGATGCATAGCCTGTGTCTATTGGACTCAATATACATATTTCCTCAACAGTCCTTTGAGACTTTACTCACATAGCAGTACAGTAATATGTGCCTCTGCCTCCAAAGATTAATTAAAGTCCATCAGGAATTTGAGCTTACTGGGTTAATTAGGTTATGTTTAATTCATCAATATATTTTAAAAGTTGATGCAATAACTGTATGTATATAATCATTAAGTATGTCTGAAGACAGATTCTTACATTTTGGTAATTAAGCATGCCTTTCTTGGACTTATGTTCTTCTCAGTCTCTAGGCTACAAAACATTTTCTTGTCCATCAAGAAACCCAGATCCATTGGAAGAAAGTAAAAGGAAACAAAAATGGGAGGGAAGGGATAGAATGGGAGGGGAGAGGAGAGGAGAGGAGAAGAATAAAGGAAAACTTGAAAATAGAGAGTGAGCTTCTCAGAACAGAGAGGGGAAGAAGCTGATGTCCTGTTGCAGTGCTAGGGTGACCCTGAGAATTGGAGGACTTCATTGGGTTCCTCCCCTCTGAGGTTGGTGCTCCTCCGGGAACCCAGAGAAAAAAGTGAAGGAAAGACTGATGGACAGGTGGGAGGTTGGGGGGGAGGGGAGGGAGAGGGAGAAGGGATTGACATGTGAAGCAAGCTTGTTCCTAATTTGAACTAATAAAAAAAAAATTACAAAAAAAAAAAGTCAAAGGGAATGGAGGCACCAGGAGAACATGACTCACTGAGTCAACTAAGCATGGGTACAAGATTCACAGAGATTGACACAGCAAGCACAGGGTCTGCATAGATCTGCACAAGGTCCTCTGCATCTTTGTTATGGCTTTTGGCTTGGTGTTTTTGTGGAACTCCTAACAGTGGGAACAGGTTTATCTTTGACCCTTTTGTCAGCTCTTGAGACATTTTTCCTTGTATTGGGTGGCTGTATTTGATGGCCATATGAGGACTTTTGCCTTGTCTTACTGTATCATGTTTTGTAGTGTTAAAAATAAAAAGAAGGGGAAAGAAGAGAAAAGGTTAGGGAAGAGCTAGAGAAGCTAGAGATAACTAAGGTACAACACACTCACATGTAGAGGTGACACACTGAAACCCATTAGCATGAGCTATTAACATTATTGAATAAAGATAACAGAAGAAGTAACCTGTTGAAAACTTGAAGTTAAATGTCTAATGTCTTAGTTAGGGTTTCTTTCTTGATAATAAAACACCATAACCAAAAGCAACATGAGGAGGAAATGGTATAACTCACCTTACAGCTAATCAGTCCATTACTGAGGGAAGCCAGGACAGGAACTCGGACCAAGACTTGGAAACAGGGAGCTGAAGCAGATCCCATTAAGGAGTGCTGCTAACTGAGTTGTTCCCTCCTGCTTTCTCAGCCTACTTTCTTTCTTTTCTTTTATTTATTTAATGTATTTGCGTCTTGACCACAGCTTCCCCTAATTCTTCTCCTCCAATTTCCCCGCAGCTGCCTCCACTCCACCTCCACCATCAATCCATTCCTCCTCTGCTTCTATGCAGAAAAGGGGGAGGCTTTCCAGGGCAATCAACAAAGGATGGCATATCAAGTTGCAATAAAACTAAGTACTGATCCTTGCCCCCAATGTCCCTGGCCTACTGCTTGCTTCCTTGCCCCCCACAACAGCAGAAGACTTGCACCAAGCAGATCCAGGCCATACATCCTGTAACCTGCCTGCCATCCTGGATTCTGTCTCCTTTTACACTTCCCCAGGCCAACACCATCCCAGCTTGGCCCTGGCCCTGCTGCTGCAATGCCCTGACCTCAGCCCCAGTGGACTTTCACCACTGAGGTCTAAATAATACCAGCCACAATCTTTAAGTGACCCTCCTTCCTGTAACTAGCCCCCTCCCATCTCAGCACCAGCACCACTGTTGGACTCTGGCCTAACTCCAGAGGAATCTCACCACTCAATTCTGCTTTCTGAAGACCCACATCACCACACAACACCTCCTACCTCATTATCCTCCCTGTGACCAGCCCTTCCCCAGAGCTCCAGCATACTCTATAGACCCAAACACAGCCCATACCAGTTGGAAGCACAGCCCGAACTGGGATCATCATGTAATTCAATCTTGTTTGTAATTCAAATATATAAAAAATAAAACCTAAAAAAAAAAAAGCCACAGGAAGCTGAGAGAACACCAAATAGACTCAACCACACAAAAAAGTCCCCTTACAACATAAGAATCAAAACATTAAACATACACAATAAAAAGAATATTAAATACTACAAAGGAAAAGGGCCAAGTACTATATAAAGTCAGCGTGATTTCTTATAACCCAGGAACACTTGTCCACAACGAAATAAGCCCTCCCACATTAGTCACTATTTAAGGTAATACACCACAGGCCAATCTGGTGGAGGCATTTTCTCAATAGAGGTCTCCTCTACTCTAATGACTCTGTCTTGTGTCAAGTTGACACAAAACTAAACACCCAAAACTATAAAAAAGATGAACTTTCATTGTTTAAACTAGCCAGTGTGGTTGCATTCAGAAAAAAAATTGCATTTTGTGACCAACAGGAGGATTTTATTTTGTTGCAATCCCATTTTATAGGTAAAAAACATTTAAATTGGGAAATTTAAAAGGAAATGTTCTGTAAGTTTTTAATCAATTCATTTATAATATTGAAAAATGAAAGGAATTAACTCATAAAATGTTATTTTAGGAATAATTATTTCATCCAATAAGAATTTTCATGATGAGTCTTCTTTAGGATATAGACTTTTGAATTCTCACTGTCTCTGACATCATTCTTTTATTGATTTAAGTCTCTTTTTCTCTACTCTAGATAACTATTTATATTTACCCTTCTTCTTTACTTGAACTTTAGAGGGACTCTGAGGAGAGATATCTATTGAATGCATCTATTGTCAATATAACCTGCTATCTTTCAGTTACATCCAGTAAAGGAATAAAGTCCAGAAAAAAATATACATTTACTGGCTTCTTGGGCATTTTTGTGAGGTATGTTTATGTTGTCCTATTTACTACTTGCCTGTTTTCCAGGAGAGAAAACTCCCTATGCATAGTAGGTAACATTAAAGTGTTTATTACTTACAAGTAGAAAGAAAAGGGCAACAGTGGCCTGGGATTCCTTGCAAACATTTCTCACAGACTTAGCAGGTCCATGATGGATATATGGAATTTATTCTCTTATATCTGAAAGTCTGAAAGTAACTTGCCTGGAAAAATGTGTGTGTGTGTGTGTGTGTGTGTGTGTGTGTGTGTGTGTGTGTGTATGAATTATCTATGGCCAACTAGGCTAGAGCATTGAAGAACAGTTTGTTGTTCAATGCAAGTTCCAAAATGAATGGGATAATCCTTTCTTCTTCAGAGAACTGCATGTCCTGCATGTTTTATAGTTAGTCTTGAGAACCACAGGTAAGGAAGCAGGGGTGATTAAATGGGACAGGGAAAAGCCATCCTGAAATTTGTTTTGAAGTCACATTATATATTTTTTAATATTCCCCCTTCTGATGAGTAGACCAAAAACCTTAAAAGTTTATTGATGGAGAATTTTCTCTGTCTAGCCCAGTCCCATTTGCCCAGTTTCTCTCCACCGACCGGGTCCTCACACCAGCATATAAGATAACCACTCAGACATAATATATATTTGTAATTGTTTGGCCAATGGGTTAGGTTCTTGTTCTTATAAATTAACCCACTTCTACTAATCTGTATATCACCACATTACTGTAGCTTACCAGTGATGCCCTGGTATCTTGTCTCCCTGGTGACTACATTGCATCTCCTCAACTCTACCTTCTCTTTCTTTCTACCTCTGTTCACATTTCTCTCCTGGCTTTACTCTGCTTAGCCATTGGCTGAAACATTAACCAATAAAAGCAACACATATTTGAAGCATACAGAAGAATATTGCTGAAGAGCTAAATGTCCCAGGTGGGTGTTCTTGATTCCTTAACTGTACACTATTTTGAATAATTTAATTCACTGTTGATGATGATTTGATAACCACATATATTAATCTCATTTATAGACTTATATACTATAGATACAGACCATAGTGATAACATAAAATATGTGTCTTCCTCTTGAGTTTTTCACAATTCCAGTCATAAGATAGTACATGCATTATAGAAATAAAAATAATTCAAAAGAGAAAGAAAATGTCTGATCAGATTACTACCCAAATATTTCAAAGTACATTACATAATGCATAATAAAAGGGATAACTAACACAGAATTTGAAATACTAATGAAATATCTTTCATACTTGTTAGAATAGCTGAAATTTAAAAGACAAAGTAAAGAAGTGCTGGTGGGGGTGGATGAAGGGGAGGGAAGCCCAATAAACCAGTGATGGAAACATAAGTTATAATCATTATGACAGTGTGAAGATTCCTCAAAATATTAAAATGGACTACCATTTTATGAGCTCAACAACCTCACTTTTGACTACATGTCCAGTGTAAATAAAATCTATATATCAATGGATATATATTTTGTATTTATTTCAGTGTCATCAGAAGAATGCAGGTATGAAAAAATCCTGTGCCTACCAAGTATGTTATGTAGGCACTATACACACACACTTAAACTTTGTAAAAAACAGTAAGTCTTGCCATTTTTATCAATAAGGATGGCACTGGGGGATGTGTGTCATATGAATTTGTCTGGATGCAAAAAATATACATACTGCATGAACTCAGATATGTATGGGGTAAAATAAGTAAGACAATGTCTAGATTATAGTAGTAATTTGTGGTACTTGTCATGACTGGATACATTTGTAGACAAAGTAATAATAAGTCTTACAAGATGAAAAACTTTGCAATGTGTTTAGCATAAAACATGTTAAATGAATACCAGCTTAAATTGTTGAAATGGGCTTGGTGGATTATAAATTTTCTCACAAGAAGCATAAATAACATATAAAGTGATGGGCATATGAATTAACTTCATAATAATATATTCACATTATATATCATAACATTGTATTATTTACTATAAGGGTATACAACTGTAGATATAAAATTTATTAAATAAAGTTCAGTAAAATTACACAGGTTCTCAAATTCTTATTTAACACCATATTAAACTATAATAATGCCAATTAAAAAATAACAATACTATATCACTTATTGTGAAGACTATTTATATATATAATAATATGTTCATATTTATATATATAAATAATATGTTCATATATATATATATATGAACATATTATTTATATCAGAGAATACAGGGGAAAAACAAGTACACAGCAATAGTTTTTGAAAAAAATATTTTTTGCAAACATTTTGATTTTACAAAATTTTTACCAAGATTGGCCTCAATGCTTCTTCAACATGTTTACTTTTCACATTAGAACCATCACAGTATGGAACATAGATTACTTTACAACAATTATGTTGCAAAGATTATGAGTGATAGGGATCAAATGAAACAAATGAACCATAGTACAATACGGCAGAAAACAGGTAAGATCCAAATGTAGAAAAATCATTAGGGACACCTACAGTGAATTGGTCTAGAAATATAGTAAGTCTATTCTGTAAGAAGAGCCAATCTAACTTTAGTTCAAGGAAAACAGACTAGAATCTGTAATTTTATGAAGATAGAAGAGTCTTTAGGAGAGCAAGTCTTTTGATTATTTGTTTTGACTCAGGAATACCATAAAAATTAATTCAAATATATATGTTTTGGTTTTGAATGTTATCTCATGAATTTTTCTAATTTTTAAAATTGGATAATATGAACTGTCCTTCTCAAAAGTGTATTTAGGATCTCCAAATTCAAGATCCTCCATGAAAGGACTCACCCTATCTGGGGAGCAGAAAAGGGTTTGGATAGGGGGTTGGTGCCAGGCAGGGGAGGAGGGGAGGAAGAGGGAACTGGGAGTGGCATGTAAATGAAGCTTGTTTCTAATTTAAATAAAAATAAATAAATACAAAAAGAGTGTATTTAGGAAAGCTAATACAAGAACTCATGACCATAGCAGGCAGTGGTGGAAGCACTACTATACATACAATTTACCAATCAAACTCATGTTTGCTCCTCTGCAGAAGATGATCATGATTATTTGAACAATTTATTCAGAGCCTCTTTCACATCCTTATTCCTCAGGCTGTAGATCAAGGGATTCAACATAGGGAAAACCACTGTGTAAAAGGTTGAAACAATTTTGTCCCTATCCAAAGAGTAGCTGGACCGGGGACGAGCATAAATGTAGAGAATGGAGCCATAGTACAAGGTCACAGAAATGAGGTGGGAAGAGCAGGTGGAGAAGGCCTTGAGTCGGCCCTGAGTGGAGCGGATCCTTAAGATCGTGGCAATAATGAAGAGATAAGAGGCCAGGATAAACACAATGGGGATGATGACATTGGAAGCCAAGAGGAAGAACAACACAGACTGGAAGCTGCCCTTCTTGCCACAGGCCAGCTTCACCAGGGGTGGGATATCACAGAAAAAGTCATCAATTACATTGTCACTGCAGAAAGTCAAGGAAAAGGTGTCTTTGGTGATGATAAAAGAGTTAATTAAACCACCCAGATATGATGCTGCCACAAAAAATGCACATAGCTTTAAGGACATGGATTGTGAATAAAGCAGAGGCTTTGAGATGGCCATATAACGATCATAAGCCATGGCAGCCAAAAGGTAACATTCAGTGTATCCAAGTCCAGCAGAGAAGAAGAACTGAGCCACACAGCCAGCAAAGGAGATGCTCTTGTCTTCAGAGATGCAGGTCACCAAAATCTTTGGAGTGTAGACTGTGGACAATCCAAGATCCAGAAAAGACAGATTCCCAATAAAGAAATACATGGGTGTGTGGAGCCGGAAGTCATTGCAGATCAAGACAATCAGGGTGCTGTTTCCTAACACAGTTATTGCATACACGGCGAGAAAAATCACAAACAGGACTAGCTGCATCACAGGGTCTGTTGTGAATCCCACCAGGATAAATTCAACGACTGTATTATTATATTTTTCCATGGCACTAGGAAATCTCATCTAGGGCTAGATGAAATGAGAATTCAGCTTGAAACAGGAGGCTGAATAAATGGAAAATACATTCAATAAATAAAGCTTCAAAAATATTGAGTAACCTGTATACATAAATAGTCAAATGGAAGTGGAGGTGGAGTTACTATTAGAGAACTTTAGGGAGGGAAAACAGTAAGCTGGCTATAGTGAATGAGAAAATCTATTTTCAATAAAGGAAAAATAGAAGAAATATGAATTCAGTGATATCTGAGACACTCAATTAAATAAAAAACATTTTGATTGGATAGGATTTGGGTTGTTTCTTAATTATAAAATTGCTACCAAATACTGGTGGATAGCTCATTTGCTAAGGTGTTTGCATTGTAAGCATGAAGATGTCAGGATGATACCAAGAAACTATTTTAAAAACAAAGGAGACATTTTGGTGCATACTTGTTATCCCAGTACTAAAGAGGCCAAGGCAAAAGGATCCCTCTGTTTCACTGCACCCAGCATAGCCTACTTGATGGATTCCAGGCCAGTAAGGGACACAGTCTAGAAAAAAACAAGCTAGATTTCTCTGAGGAACATTAAGAGTCGCCCTCTGACTCCCACACATGCACACGTGTGCACATGCACCCATTTCCACAACACATACTCAGAAACATGCATACAAAAAATAAAATAAAAACAATTAGAAGAGGTTGGAGTATGAAATAAGGTATAAAAAATGTGTGTCCTAAGACACTCTTTATATTTAAGATACCTTATTTGCACACATTAATATTATTTTATTGATACTCAATTTGCACTTGTGTCCTGTACTACATTTCATGAACCCCATAGGACTACATTTGGAAAAAGGATGAAATTCAAGAAAGTAAAGTTGATTCTCTAGTTTGAATAGATAAGTGCCTTGATGAGAAGAAAATCTAGCCCCTCTATATCCCTATCCGGAACCCTCTCTCCCTTTCTCTCCTTTCTTCCCTACTTCCTATCTCTCTTTCTCTCAAATGGACACTTCTAACTTGTTAAATGGATCTCATTAAAAATAACCATCTATCCACCCTAATCTTGGACTTCCTTCAACCTGTAAAACTCTGAAAAAATATAGTATATCATTGAAGACACCACTGCATGGCATCCTGTTATCACAACCCAAGCACAAGATAACATTATCTTCATTTTGCATGTATAGGGACAGATGTCAACTACATCAAGCTGATAGCAACAAAAAAAGTAGGATTTATACTTAAAATTGTTAGAAGACAGAGCCTAAACTCTACATTATATCAAGCAAATATGGAATACTAAGGTCTCATTTGTTTCCCCATACCTCCATTATGGAATTCAAAGAGAAGAAAAACATAGTAAAAGTTCCTGCTTTCATCTATAGGGATCATTATCCCAGGTCTGTCCTGCAAGGCTCAGCTTTTCATCAGATCTCCTCTAGTGACAGCAATGGACACACGTGACTCATCTTCCAAAAACTTTTTCAATATGTTGTCTTTGCTATCATTTTTAACTTTTACTGTAGGCCAAGTGCTATGCTTTGTACTTAACAATTAATTTAATCATTATTTTCCTATACTGATCTATGGCTGAAGAATATCTCTCCTGGCACATAGTATTAAAATGTAAGAACTAAAACAGAGTGTTCTAGTGTGTCTTACTCCAGTCCAATGAGGATACTATGAATGCCAAAAATTCTTGTAAAGAAGCTTGGAGATTCCTGGAGTCACAAGTCGAAGCTGGAGCAGGACTGAGAACACTAAATTAGACTAAAAATGCTCTCTGCTCCTTCTGCTATGGTAAATTACGCCAAGGCATCTCCAGCCATGGCAATCACGCTCCAACTTTTTAAGAGATCTGCTGTTCCTCAGATCTTGAAGAGCTAAGCAAACACTCTAGGTTCCAGATCTCTCAGCCAAGTTCTCAGATCTCCTGAGACCAGCTGGTAATCTAGCAAGATGGGAGAGGGAACTTCTAAGATGAAGTACTCAAGGAAACAGTTTGCAGGATGCATTTGCCCCAGAGAATAGGAACAACTATGTACACAGGATCACTGGATCTGTCGCTTAAACGGCCTTAAATATCAAAGTACTTTCACTGGATGCCCATTCTGCTTAGAATTTATTTTAGCCCTTAAGATTGCTCATGAATATGTGATATGAAGGGAGATGAAGAGGTAAGCAGGTTGATCTCGGGATACCACCCTTCACTCCCCAAAAGCTTTTACTTTCTTTCCATGTTTTTCTTTTCTTCTGTAGAACACTCAACAAATAACCAGCCACAAAACTACTAAATCATCTAGTTTGCTGTCTCTCATTAAAGAGGATACCAATCCCAAAAGGGCATGTTTCATTAATTGGTTTTTCACTGCTCTCTGTCGTGTGTCTTTCACAAAGTCCATGAATCACATTTCCTGAGAGGATGACTAAATACACTGAAGAAGAATTTCAATCAAATCCACATTGCAGTACTTTCAATTAATGCTATAAGCCCAAATTCATTGTTTCTTTTTCCATATCTATTGTCATAGCAAATATATGAGTATTCTGTATTCTTCAGAAATACATACCAGATAATTGAAAGAGTAACTTACAGAATTCAGATGACCACCTTAAGGAGAGGAATTGATTTTTTCAAATTCATGGTGCTTATGAAGCTCTTATTGAGCATCACACCATCTGAAGAACTGTTAGTTTTCTACTTCAGAGGTGGCCACAATGAGACCAGGAAAATCAAACTTAGCTCTGGGAATGAAAAAGACTTTTCAAAATCCCAGGTCTTACTCTATCACTCAGTTAACCTTTTATGCATTATTTAACTCCCTTATGTTTTAATCATCTCACTTGTAAAGTAAAAATGATCATTTCAACAGCAGCATTTCAATAGCAGCATAGGTAGGGTTGTTGTAAATTTTGAAAAATAACATAAAACTTTTGTCTCAACAGTTTTTGAGATCTTTTTTCATTTTTTTCTTTCTGTTTTGAAGAGATGGAATGAATATGAAGTTAGGGGGAGAATCTTAGAGGAGTTGACAAAGGAAAATATTATCAAAATATCTTTTGTGAAAAAATTAAGACCATAAAATATATGATCAAAAGCAATTAGTACATTTAAAAATTCCCTAATGAAGAACCAAAGGTAGCTGATGGCTTCGTGGAAAGGGAGAGTCAATTTTCTTCAGGAATATGGCCCCTGTTAGGTTATCTTGTGTGGACCCACACTCATGCACATGTGGGTAGTACTAAATGGACTCAAGTGAGTTATTTTTTACTGACATAAAAGTAGGAGGGGTATAGGGTGGGAGGGTTTGAGAGGAAAGGGAGAAGTTTGGGGTATGTATGATCAAGACAAATTGTATATACATATGAAACTGTCAAAGAATGAATAAAATATTTTAAAAGATGAATAAAAGCAAGCAAAACCAAACAAAGCCTAGTTACTGAAAAAATCAGCACAAGGGAGACATTCATTAGCAGCCTCTAATTCAAAGGCAAGGCAGCACATGATGTGGCTGATGCAAAACTCTCTGTGATTCCCACCCCAAGATGGTAAAATTCACTAAGTAGTAGTTCATGAAATCTCCTCTCACTCAAGTAGCCTGAGATAGTCTGACAAAAACTGACTCTACACACTATTGAGAGAAATATAGTGGTATTGTCCATTATTATAAAGATGGCCGAAGTTTTATTTTGTAGGCTTGTTAAGATTTAATGAACTGATGTGTGTGCCAAAAGAGCATGTTAATAGTAGTTATATAATTTTGGAAGACAGCACATTCTCCTCTTCCAGGGGATGTGTGGTCAGACAGCCCTAGGCAAAATTCTGATATTAACTGTTACCTTTGAAAACCTAATTAATCCTCATGAGAAGCAATTTCCTTATCTGTAATATAATGCAATTTTCCTCTGCATTTATGTATTTCCTCCAATTTATGGGTATTTTTAATTTATGCACTGTATTTAAAAATATCAAATGCACAATAGATACTATGTTTTGAAGCTAGTATGTTGGTTCATATCATATAATTTACTATAAAACTAATATTATAATACTTATTCAAGAGCAAATATTGAATTTTTTCCATTCTTCCCTTTGCTCTTATTCTCTCTATTCAGTCCTATACTATGATCCAAACACATTTTATTAATAACTTCAAATTTGTCATACTCATGAGCACCCACATCTTCTTTCATAACTTATTTCTGACATTTATTTGATTGGCTTATGCATAAATTGTGAACTATGGTAGGGGGAAGTGACTTTAAGAATCTAAACAGTCTATATCTCAGCAATAAAAGACATTCAAAACCACAACAAAAACATAGGGAATAAAACATCAACTATTTAATTGTGCTTTTCTTAAGGTTTCCTTAGTAGCATCTAGTCAGAATTGTCCTCAACTATGTATCAAGTCCCAAACCAACTGAGCCTGCACAAACTCCTGTCCCAATATGATTGAAGAAGTTGGGAAGGAAGAAAGAAAGGAAGGAAGGGAGAGAGGGAGGGAGAGAGGGAGGGAGGGAGGGAGGGAGGGAGAGAGGGAGGGAGGGAAGTGTGGGTAGAAAGGGAGTTAGGAAAAAGGGAGGGAAGGAAAGAGGGTAGAAATAAAGAATGGAAAGAGATAACTCTCTTCTGGCCAACCATATTGAAAGGCTATGTCAAGCCTGACAGAGATATCTATTGTCTAGCATTCTTTCAAAACCACTCATGTCTTCTTGCCTTCTGAAAAACAAAATTAAACTAAAAGAAATTTAAATATTTTATAATTCCCTCTGAATCTGAGTTTAGAAACACTAGCCTATTGCCTAGTAGAGTGTATGAGAGAGGCTACTCAGCTGAGCTCCATGCTAAGTGGATCTTAAAACATCATCCTATCATTTTAAAGCCAATTATACTTTTCTATCTATTCCCTTCACATAAATAATCCTACATCACCTCAAATAGAGAGAATTAAATGCCTTTTTATCTTACAAAGTTTACAACCTGCTACAGAATGATGGAGGCATATGAATAAAAGGCTTTGTCATTTCTCCTGCAACAGAAAGCAAATAATTATTGAGTCATTGTGAAAGCAGAATAAAATTTACAAGGCTCTAATGATATGCACCATGCTACTTACCAAACTTAAAGAATTTATTTCCTTCTAATTCTCCAAAATTTAACCAGCTAGTTCTAGGATCTTTTATATCAGATATTTAATCCCAGGAGACTCACATATGAAACTCCTTGTGGACTGGTAGCCTGAGGAATAACAAAGCAATGAAGCCAAATGTGTGTTGAAGTTGGGTCTATCTCAGTAAGACTCAGAAGTTCCCAACTGATGGATGTATTCAGTCACATTCTCTCACTCTCTCTCTCTCTCTCTCTCTCTCTCTCTCTCTCTCTCTCTCTCTCTCTCTCTCTCTCTCTCTCTCTCTTTCCATATATATATATATATATGTGTGTGTGTGTGTGTGTGTGTGTGTGTGTCTTCTTTTTCTTTGTCCTTTGTCATCCTCCTTTCACTCTTCTCTCCTCTCACCTTGTGGGCCTAGAGATAGATAGTCAAATTCTGTGGCCAAAAATTAAGCTATCCCAGTACACTCTCTATTTCCTATATTCCCTTCATAATGTTGTACATTATTAAATCATCATTAACTTGTCTATTGCAAGCAGACATTTCATTCCAAGAAGGACTCACACAGATGAAATAATTATTATAAAGAGGGTGCCTAGAAATTGTACATTTACAACAAGTCATGTACCAAACCTATGGCCAGTAACATTACATCATGAACTACAAGTGGATTGCAGGGTACTGAGTCCAACTGTTGTGGTATGGAATGTAACTATGACAGACAGTATGGGCTATGAAAAGAATGAGGTCTTCATGTCTGTGATTCCTGTAGCTGGGAGGTAGAAACAGAATTTCACTTCAAGGCCAACTTTAGGCTTATAGGGAGTCTCGTTTGGGAGAGATAAGAAAATTTTCTATCATTACACTAAGAATTTGGAAATAACAGGAAGTAGGAATTTATTTTCCATTTAATATCATATCAAATCATCCTATTATACTGCCACTTACTATTTAAATATATTATTTAAATTAAATTAAATTAAATTTAAATTAGTTAAATTTAAATATATAAATAGTAATATTTAAATATTTAAAACATAAAATATAGTTTTAAAATAATAGGACTAGATACACTACTTAATGGTCAGAGAGCCTATGAAGGTGATTGCTCCTACATCTCACTAAATCTAGCAAATAACCCACTGTTCTCTTGATAGGTTTCTGTGTCATGAGCCACAGATTAGAGTGATCCTTTAGGAATAGAGTAGATAAAAGTAACTATGGACTATTTTCTTATAACAAGAAATTTGATTTGTTCTTGAATGAAGACTATCCAATGTCATTATGTCATTATGTGGAAATGCAATCACATTTTATTTTTTCTACTAAGCTAGCCACTGAAACCACAGACTGAAAAGGAATTAAGTCCCCTTTATCTCCATCAAACAGAAATGCATTTTGTCTAGTAAAACTTTTTCCTATTAAACTCCCTTAGAGTCTCCTTTATATGACCTTTTTACATTAACTGGGAATTAAAACTTTTATTATTATGCAAATAAGTTCATCTGAAGAGAGATCTAAAACAAAGGTGCCCATTCTCAAGACTAAATGACCAACACAAACTAGATGTGATATGAATGGAGAGAAAGCTCAAAGTTTGGATTGCAAGAAGTGGGGTAGAGAATGCATCAATGTGTTTTTCAAAATCAGTCCACTTTTTGCAAAATTACTTGTACAATCTTGTATATATTTCTAGAATATTGGTGAACTGTGACCCAGAAGACAAACAAATTTTCTTTGCTAGCTGTGGAAATCAGCTGTTTTCTCTAGGTGGTAGCCTACACAAATACTGCCTGCTTGTAGCCATAGTATGTGAATTTTCATTTATTTATATATTGTTCCCACTTCTGTGTGAACACAGCAATCAACACGAAGTACAAGGCAGCATAAATACTTTTCATGACCAAATTTATATTTACAAACAGCAGATGGAAGTTTCTGTCCCACCCCATCCTGCAGCCCCAAATAAACACACAGAGGCTCATATTAATTATAAACTGCTTGGCCTATTGCAGGGTTTATTACTAACAAACTCTTAAACTTAAATTAACCCATAGTTCTTATCTATGTTTATCCATGTGGCTTGGTACTTTTTCTCAGTAGTAAGGCATTCTCATCTTGCTTTTCCTCTGCCTTTCCTCTTCCCAGAATTCTCCTAGTCTGGTATGCCCACCTGTACTTGCTGACTAAGTACTGGCCAATCAGCATTTTACTAAACCAATATGTTTTACTAAACAAATATTTACAGTGAACAAGAACATTTTCCCACATCATTCTGCCTTTTTTCTTTTTAAAACAAGAACCCACAACCCTAAGACTATCTATTAGAATAAAAGTCATATATTGATATAGACAAAGAAAATGAAACAAAATTTGTAAGATTCAACAAGAACTCATTTTCTTTTATTTCATATTTCTGTGTGCCATTGTTATATGAGGTTGGTATATGTTATATGTGTATGGTATATATGCATGATTGTGTAGTGACTGTGTTTATGCCTTCATATGCAGGGCATGAGATGTGCTCCTCTACCAATTGCACTTAATTATGTGGAGACAGGGTCTCTTGATTACCTAGAACATTTGAGCTATGATGGCTGTTTAGTGAGC